TAAGTCAGAGGTGAAAAATGTATTTTACTTTAAGGTAAAGGTAAAAGAAAATCGAATTTGTTTGGTCATATCGTTAACCTTTTGCAACTGAAAATTGCATAATTCCTTCAAAAATACCTCAAACTAGGAATTTCACTTTTCTATATATCAAAAGATGAGCCGTCATTTTTACTTTGAAACGAGGATAATTCTGGACACTCATAGATTTGAAATCTGTGAATACCATAACTGATTAGGAATTAGGTACTATTAGTCGAACCGGTGTCGACACTGTCCCTTTAAATTCTTTCATTCTTTCACTTTCATTTTATTTACAAAGTATTCAATAAAACATTCTGGGGTTCTGTGCTTAATGTTCAAATTATCAAAGTGATGATCAACAAATCCTACATAATATAAATCATGTCATTAAGTTTGATATTCAAATCATTTTTTTTAAATCCTCAATATCATTTATATAAAATGTCAATATTTACTGCTGTTTATACAGTATACAGTGAAAACAACACGTACATACTGTCATTGATAAATACGTTATTGATAAATAATAAACTATCTTAACCAGCAATTATCTAACATTTCACTTGACTATAGTTTATTACTGTTACAACACAGTACTGAAGTTGTTGTCCCTGGAGTCAGAAACACTTGAAAATCAATTCTACCCATTTCTTTATAATAGCAATTATCTGGGTTCTTCAAACAGTCACTATTGGTCTTCCCAGAAGTAAGGCGAAAGGGGTATTACTATTATTATGAATTGTTGCCACAAAACGGACCAACACCAGTAAATTTGGTGATTCATGTACTGTTTTTTTTATGAAAAAATTGTGAAATACTTTCAAAAAATCTTGTAGTCCTTAACGTTGACGTAACCGATTTTGGATAATGCCATCCGAACAGCTGTATGTTGGCTCATATTTAATTTTCATAAATCCCCTCTCACCCCTTCTCCAAAATCTAAGCGAGAAGGCCATATTTTATAGCTACTCAGACAACGGGATCTTCGAAATGTCCTTAAATGTCAGTGAATTAAATGAAACGTTTGACGTTATAATTTCCTTCATAATATTAATAATTAACTGGCAACGCCATTGAAGGCATTTCTTTTTCTTCAGGAAATGATTGAAAAAATGGAATTTTACGTTCTACTATTCTGTGGGTTATTATTCTTTTTCTTCAGTTAACAACCGATGTTTGCTGAGAATATTACCATGACAAACACGTCTGTTCTTAACATTACAGACGTGTTTCCAGCTTGATTCGATTTGAAATCATTATGTTAGCTATCACGTCATCACTTATCCCTTCCGCATTTATCACTTATCCTTCCCTCAGCAATCTCTTGCCCCATCCTCAACTATCACTTATCTCTCCCTCGGCAATTTCGTGTTCCTCAACTATCACTCATCTCTCTTTAAGCAATCTCTTGCCCCATTCTCAACTATCACTCATCTCTCTTTTGGCAATCTCTTGCCCCATCCTCAACTATCACTTATCTCTCTTTTAGCAATCTCTTGCCCCATCCTCAACTATCACTTATCTCTTGCTACCTCTTCCTCGGCTATCACGTATCTATCTCTGTCATAATCCCAAGCATGACAAGCTCTTCTTTTGAGTTGCGTTTATTAAATAATAAACATTTCCTGCCTATGAATTTTTTCTCCCGCTCAGTAACTTTAAACAAAGAGTCCAAACAGATCGACAATAAAGAATTTATATCAATATAACGAGGCTTGTTATGGCGTTTTAACACGAACTTAATACACATAGCATCAATTAACCAAATTCATCTTAGACACCAAGTGAAAAGATCACCTTGGAATATTGACATTGTTAGACTAGGATGACCTGGGTCAAACTTCATGTGGTGAGTCTGAAACTAAAAACCAAATCAACTTGTCGTCAAAACATAAAAAAAGGATTACAGTTACCCCCTGTGCCTAGGCCTGGCTCTCGTTTTCAGGAATCATAAAAAGTATCATCACAAAGATCTACCAGGGCGGATAGCTTAATATTGTGGACACTTTGCATCCTTTTCTCCGTTGGCCAGTGTCTTGAGCCGTAATTTCGTGTAAAAGCTTTGTACCAATTATAGTCTCAAGAATTTTAGACACCATCGTAATACTTATATTCTTAATAAAGTCAAAGTTATTCTGACTTAGTTTTAGTTTTCTCAATTAACCGTCTTTCGCTGATATAAGAATAGACACACAGACATTCTTTATCATTTTTTTTTTATTTTCCACTCACGTATGTTTCTTGCTGTTTTTAAGCAGATCATAGAATAATTTTGAAGAACCGTGGAGTTTTCTGATAACGTACTGTGATAGGAAAAACGTCATGTCCTTCCACCGGAGACCAATTAGTTGTTTTAAAAATGTACAAATTTATTATCACATGAGTGATATCATCCAAAAACTAGTATAAGATTACACTGAGATTACAAAGAATCGTCAATCAGGGGCGCTAGGAACATGGGAGGTTCGTTTCAAGAAATCACCGTAACAATGGCGGTTAAATTAAGGTTATAAATTGGTCTACTCTTTCGCTTTGGAATGCGCTCAGAATAGCAGTAGCTACAGAAAAGTGGGTCAATAATCTGAATCGTACAGGCTGATTTTACATAGTGTGACCAGGGCCTCAGAGTACTATAATGTAGTAGTAAACAGTTCTTCCCGTCCCTTAGGTCGCTTGCTTTTTCTTAATTCTATTTGTAGGTTAATTTACTCAGTAATTCGGTTTAAGACGATTGATGTACCTTGCAATTACAAGATCGTGGCTTCTACTCGAATTTGCAAAGCTCATTGGCATAACCCTCTCATGGATTATCTTCGCGAAGCACCCATTCTCAACAGTACGCTTTTACAGCCAATTTGACTAACGTCACTGCTCCATCATTATTGTTGACCAATTCTTTACCGTGTAAATGTTTGGTGTAGCACTGAAACCCTTAAATTGTCAGATTCGCATTTCGTTTGACCATTCGTAAAACAGGATTTTTTTTAGTTAAGCTAATCAGTAATAGTGATCACAGCTCCTCATCGAAGACTTCAAATCCACGTGTGTACAGAATTATCCGCGTTTGAATGTTAAAAATAACGACTCGTCTATTGTTGAAACTCTGTATAGAAAATACATATTTAGAAAAAGACAGCAAAATTCCTAGTTTGAAATATTTTTGAGGGAATTGTGCTATTTTCGTACATTTACGTACTTCTGGAGACTTTGTATGTAAATTTAATCACCAAATGACCCCCTACCTCATTATTTGAGAATCCTTCCGCCGTTCATTGAAATACGTCTTGACTTGCCAGAAAAATACTCCTCGTAACTAATTACATTCTGTAAAAGTTGATTTTAGAAATTAGATCGTTTTTCTCCCTCCCAAGACGAAACTTGGATTTCAAAACAACTTAAATCATTGGATAAAAAACAATAATCTAACATATTTCCATTCTCTTTTCTTAAGATGGTGTTCTTAAGAATAACGCATGCGTAGACGTAGACAATTTTCTCGGGCATTAAAAAGCATTGTTTCCGTCAGTAAACGTGACTTATAGCTTTCTAGGTTACCCACTAAACCCGTCAAAATATAGCGGTAGAAATTAAATCTAAGTTTGTCTTTACTTAGTTATGTCTCAAATTACGACGACTTCTAACAATTTGACGCCATTTGCATTAAAATCAATTAAATAAGTGGAGATCGATGTGACAGAACTAATAACTACATGACTATGGGAAATAACGCGAAATACAATTTACTTCTTATTTAGCTTTCTTTTCTAACCATTTGATTGCCATCATAAAAAGTCTACGATCTATTTTACGATGTTTCCTATCATTATAAAAAGGATTTCTAATTAGGAATGTATTTGTATGTGCCGAGACTATCGAGGTGCTGTCATGTCTGAAAACGGTTGGAAACTGTAAAGGAGGGATTCTGTCACTGGGACCAACTTCAAAAGTACATCGCCATCATGGTAAAGTTAATATTTATTTTAGATAAATTGTATAAGCACAAAGCATTAGTTTAAGCTTTCATTCGTCTAACGGTTTCGAAAAATTTGTCTGGTTGCGATTACCAAATTGGTTTGGAAGTGATCGCTTGAGTCCAGAGGCTTCGTCACGAATATATGTTATTAGATACGTGTTTATCGTGTTTTTTTTCTCGCTTTTATCGGTTTTTAAATAAGTTATCATGTCAACAGAACGGTTCTTCATTAATACATTTTATTCTGTGACTTGTCTTCTGAACTCCAATTTCACACTTGATAAAAAGAAGTCAGATAATCGTTTTCTGTGGTTCTTAGACACCGTTATGTGTTAGTCTTTATCAATTTATTTGGTCATTGCTTTGTACGGCTTCGGAATTTTCTGGTATTTCTGTGGTTTCACAAGTGAATGTCAGAAGTGGTACTTCAGTTTCTTTTCAAATGGAATTAAAATTATTTTGATACTTTCTTTGAAAACAACTTTCTGTCTCTTTACTCAAATTTTTCTACGTGTAAATATTTCCGTTGTATCTGCCATAAGTTCTGTAATTAAAACGCGGGTTATAATCCCGAAATGTTATTGGATTTTATGATAACGGATTATCAGGGATTACGAAGATTAAGATGTAATTGTACTCTACATTTTATGTAAATTGTTGCAGCGATGTAATATGAATTACTATACACAGGGCTATGAATAAAAGTTACTGTAAGAATCAACAACTTGCTTTGAAGAAGATATAAGATTGTCATTGTCGAAGCATAAGCCTTTATTGAGTATAGCATTTATTGTACATAAAATGTGTCCGTTATCCCCATTTATGTCATGTCATTCTTATCTTGAAGGAAATGCACTACAATTAAAGCGTATATGCTACGTTAACTGTTTTCATCGCAAATCTCAAGATCCTTGAGGACGACTGAGATAATGAACTATTATCCCCAAAGCAAGGCCACCGTATTGAAAGCTCGTTTATCAAGTCATTTATCTTTTATTTTCAGACGATGTACGGCTTGTTATTTGAGAGCATCCAACATTTCATACAATTGGATTACGGCGAAGAGGCCTGGCAACAAATTCTAGAACATGCAGGGATTAAAAACATGGTGTTTACCACCCATAAGATTTATCGAGATCAAATTATGTTAGATTTAGCAGCAAGTGCTAGTCATGTCGTGCAGGATAAAACATCGGAAGAATATTTAGGTAAGACAAACTTTCCTTTTTCTATCCAATTAGATTTATATTTCTGATTTCTATTACAAAAGTGGGGACATATCCCATAGTTCATTTGTTCCTTTAAGTTTAACGTTATATAATACTGCTGTAGGTGGTCTTAAATATCCCGTGGGCCTTTGTCTTTCCTGTTAAAGGGACTGATGTGCCATTCTTTTTGACCAATCATACTTTAGTCTCAGAAACGGGATTTTTTTTAAGTATTTCAGTAAAAGTGTTCACAGCTCACCGTCGAATTGTGAGCCTTCAAATCCATGTGTGTCCAGATTTACCGCGTTTGAATGACGACTCGTCATTTTAAGATACTCTGTGTATAGAAAAGACATATATAGAATTAAGGACTAAAATTCCTTGTTTGATATCTTTTTGAAGGAATTATGCGATTTTCGTACATTTCTAGTACTTCTGAAAACTATTTACATATATTCAAGACTCAACCCAGCAAAATGGTGCATCTGTCCCTTTAAAATTAATATTTCTATTTTCTCTCCAGTTCACACTATATTTCTCTTTTCTGTCCATATAACATTATATTTCTGTTATATTGTGATTTTTTTTTATCTTGTTAAACTTTATATCTTTTTTTCTATCCAGTTAACTGTACATTTCTGTTTTTTTGTTTTGTACAAAGTTATATTTCTGTTTTTTGTCCTTTAAAATTTTATATTTCTGATTACTGTGCAGTTAACCCTCTATTTATGTTTTCTTCCATAAATGATTTATAACTTAAATATATTTTTATAAGAATTTGAATATATAAATATGTAATAAATAATAGGAAAATCTCAGAAAATATTTTCCAATATTCTTTTATATACTGTTCAGTCATGCGAATCTTCGGTTCTGTATATTGAAGAGAGGATGTAGTGATCCATCATTTTCTTTGACATAAAGGGATTCAAAATATGTTTGTTAGCCTGGATGTGTTTCAGGATGACGTCCCAACCAACTCCTATGTCTCGTATGATTCTAGAAATAACTGATCAGATTTTTTTCAACTTCCCTGATACTAACGTTTGAATGAAATATACGATAGTATAGTTGTAATCTGGTCAAGTCTATCTGGAATTACATTTAAGAGGCACTACAGACGACAGACGGTCAATAGGAATGGTGCCATCAGATACACATGTACGCGTACCTTTAATGAAAGGCGTTATACTCTTCTTCAAGCTTACGCTTGGTATTATCTCACTATTGTGAAATATCCATTCTGAAACTAGTCGTAAACATACTCTTATAAACCATCTAAATATAAACAATCAGATAAGATGATAGATCCGCCAATATAGGCTTCCTGTCTGTTTTGTCCATGTAGCACACCTTAACTATTCACATGCGAGTTAGCATCTTTAAAAAGCTGTTTGACCTGCCGATACATGTTTGTTAAAAGTCAACTGTCTCTGGGATAATTGCATGATTCTGGATATAATTGTGCTTGACATGACAGTAAAAATTCGATTTCCCAGTGTTAAACGATTGTTAAATGATATCTTGACTATGATTTACTTTAACTAGGGTGGCGCTCGAATGGTGAGTTCTGAATAGATTCAATCTGTTCCAATTCTGCCCAATCGAACATTACACAACCCAATATTATGTCACTTTCAAAATATTCCCTTCTATTCTTTCTTTCAGCAATTTTGAATTCTATATCTACCTACTATTTCTTCGGTACAGAGAAAATGTTCTGAACCCTGTTATAAATTGAACATATTGAATTCCATTAATCCCGAATATGCAGAACGCACCAATCGGGCGCCCCCTGAAGTAACTGAGAAATTGTCTTCAATATTATGACCCACAATTTTGTTCATCAAATCACTCGATCAAAACTTTTTAATTGGATCCAGGGCAAAAGAAGCCTGGCTTATAGTCACCATATTTGTATGACATTTTGACCAAAGCGTTATCTCATCGTACTGTTAGGTAACCAGAATTTGTGAAAAGGCTACGTTTAAAACAAAACATTCCCTCTTTGATTATTACTATATTTTGCTGTTTTTAACCGAATAAAAATTATATGAACTTGAACTGTCTTCCATACAGCAGCAGAAGGCAATTTCAGTCAACAGTTACATGGAGTTATATGGAGTTAGTGCCTTTGTAAGATAAACATGTTAAAAAGCATCTGAATACCAACAGGATTATCAATAAAAGCTTTGCTTATAAGACAATAAGATTCTGATCCCTTGTAGTCTTCTATTTCTTGTCCTAGTTAGATAAATTGTAGATTGAGTATAAAGAACAAATCGCAACTAACATTATATTTTTGAATGCAGATTTAATTGAATTAAGTGTCCATTATAGAGAATTCATATGCAGGGACAGTGACACTAGGCTACTTCTTTACGATGCCCAATATGTCAAAGCCTATTAACAGCCTATAACACGCGAGAACTTAGTTTATTGTCATATACGAACAACCTGACACTGAACTGTCAGTACCTTTATTACTTAAGGGAAACCGGGTTGAAAATCCGAAGATACTATCTTTGATACCGCTATCACACTCTTGCAGTGCATACACAGTGCAGCAAGCTAGCGTCTGGGTCATTGCGGCACCTGAGTCGAAGCTATTTCCGGAATTGTTTCTATACAGGATCTATATGAAGTTGTTGTAAAAGTAAATTGCAAAACGTTTTAATTAAAGAGATAATTAAATATGAACCCAAATGTCACCAGCGTTGACATAGAAACCACGTTCCAAGTCGCTAATGGTGTATGGAATTATTATGTCGGTTACCTTTGCTATAAAATGTCAACATAGAAAGTAGAACAATTAGAATTCCACGAGTTTTATGACTTCTTTATTAATGTTCCACCACTCTGTAATTATTATCATTAAAGGTGGAACGCCCAAACGATATTCTTCTATAATTGTCATATTGCTCGACAGACTGTGAACACACATATTGCATTAGCATGTTCATGTACATAAAGAATTTGAACAATAGTTGTAAATATATGATGCGATCGGCGACACACTATCAGGCGATTCGAAATGTTATGCTCAATTAACATTATAACAGTCCTCTGGTAGAATCTAGTTGTGAGCATTGACTTCTCGAAAGGTAATTGAGATAGTTTAAGAACTCTTTTATGTATATCTACCTTTACACTAGGCCATTCAATATCATTGAAAGCCATCCCAACAGCAGGAAGGTTTATTGAGAATTATGCTGATATCGCAGTCTAGGTAGTGGTTATTATTCGAAGTAGTTGGTAATAGGATTGTTGAATTAGATGATTCTGGACTGTTGGTTTGGTAGTTGAGTAAAAGCTTATTGCTAAAGAACTCTGTTTGCTTTTGTGTCTACTGATCTTCATTGTCATTAATGACTGGTAGCTACAGGCTTTAGGCTCCAGCAGGGTGATACAATATAAGCCAAGGTTGTCGTAGGTAGTAGTTTCTCGGATATCGTAGAGAATGAAACAATGCTTAAGCATGTAAGTGTGAAAAGAATTCCTTTGTCAACACTTAAAGACCGTGATTCGCTTTTTGCGGTGGTTGATTTGGTTCTTGAATATATGTAAATAGTCTTCAGAAGTACTAAAACAGCACGAAACACAAATTCGCTTTCTATTTCTATATATGACGGAAAGGAAAGACGAGTCGTCATTTTAACTTTCAAATGTGGATAGTTCTGGACACATATGGATTTGAAGGCTCAAACTTCGACGATGTGCAGTGAACATGCTGTAAAAAATCACGTTTCTGAGAATAAGATAATATTATTAGTACAATAACTCAACTACCATAGTGACTGTTTGAATCAAATCCACGGACCCAATCCTTAAGGGGCCACAACCCAGAAACAAATGCAGGAGAGCATATGTGTTACATTATGTTCTCTGGGGAGGGGACCAAACCCACCAAAGACCATGGACCCCCACTCATCTAGTTGTGCAACTGCAAACGGATGACCAACCTGTTCCTTTAAGATCTTTGGTAAAATATAACAGCAACGGCTTCACATGATTTTATCTCCGGACTTATGTCCGAAACACGGCGATGATGATGTTGTTTTCTGGGTAGGAAACCGGTCCCTGAATACGTTTTCCAGTTCCATGCCGAAAAGCAATAGCATTTCATATGTGTAAGCTATATAAATACAGTTATGGGTCATATTACATAATAGATGTACAAGGCATTATTCGCTCCATGATGAATTCACTAAAAATAACAACTAATTATACTATTATGTTCAGTCCCTACGATGATTTGATTTATTAGGTTATATAGTATTTTAATTGGGATACATGTTACTTGAGATGGAAATTATCCGAAAATGGCCGTAATCATTTTCACATGTTATAAGATACTACGGTTTTATCAATAAAGACGCTTAAAACTGCAATTTTACACTTGCTTGTCCGTTTCAAACTTGGATTTGAAGGTCAAATAACTACAAAACTACGTATGGTTCTTACATTGAAGCAGGTCACAACCATTTTAAATCTTTACCTCGAGTTAAAGGCACAGCTGCGCCATTTTTGTGACCATTCATGCCATAGTCTCAGTAAAAGCCAATCATTTATAGTGTTCACGGTTCACCGTCCAAATTTGACTTCAAATCCTTGTGTAACCAGAATTATCCGTGTTTGGATGTTATAAAGACGACTCGTCATTTTAGGATAATCTGTGATGTATATAGAAAAGATATAAGTTAAGTGAAATTCCTAGTTTGAAGTATCTTAAATTGAATTATCCGATTTTCTTACATTTCTAATACCTGAAGACATATATTCAACAATCTAATCCCCATCGCCCCCACCCCCCTCCCCTAAAAAAATGGCGCACCTGCCCCTTTAATGCGTCAATTTTAAAAAGATTTCATATTTCAACCAAGTCTAAGTCAAAGCCTTCAAATCACATTTAAAACCATTTCTAAACCTTTAAATGTGATTTGGAGGCTTTAAAAATATTATAACCTTTTGAAAAAATCGACTTATTAAGTCGAGGTAGAGCTGTGATTTGGCATTAGAACTTAACTACTTATAGGAGTTATAGAACAACAGATTTCACATTATTACATAGCTTGATGAACTTTAAATTTCTATGTATGAAGTAGCTGAAATGACACGTGTTTTGAACACGTCGTCTATATTTAATAATTTGAATCACAGTGATGTTTGTCTAGTCTTCAAAATATGACAGCAATGAAATTCAACGTCCTTTTGCGAGGAGTTCCTGGTGTTCTTCACTTATTGGAATAAATCATTCAACTGGACGAAATCGAATTGGGTTAAAATGATGACAGTCGAACGTACAGTAAGAGCATGTAAACCGTGAATGTCAGAAAGTCATTATCTGTAAGCGACAATTTCATTTAACCTTACACTAAACAAAGCAGAATGACCTCAGATGAGGTATATACCTCATATATTGACAAAGAACCTAATCGATGGTCTTCTCTGGAGAATGTCCTCCTTGATTGGTTTCCCACCTGACCTGTCTCTTTACTTACTTCCACAAAATTGATAAAGAACCCATTTCTTTAACCTATTAGCTATAAACCATTGATTTTAAGTCCATTTTACCAATTACCATCGTACTATTACTTATCTATAGAAAATAAAAGAGGAAAATCGATTGTTTTGGTCTTTATCAAATTGTCCATCTAGAAGTTTAATAAGTATATCATTAACACCCATTAATGTTTGCTTACATATTTCAACAATTTGACAAAGTTTAAGTACTTAAGATAATTATAGTAATGTTTTTCAGGGTCATAATAGCATAAACCTTTGAGTTTCGATCAAACCGGTACCTTCGTAATCCAAATAATATTTCACTGTGTCTTTGAAAGTGAATGATTTCCCTATTGTACCTTGCATGGCGTTTCCCGTCTTCATTAGCTCACATGGTGTATAAAAGTAGGACGTGAAATCCATTCAATTAATTTTATTTCGAAAGTGAATGAAAACTGTTGCGTCTTTCACACAAACTGGTTTTGAGGAAATAGACGTCCAAATGTGGGCGTATCCAAATGTAGACTCAAAGTCGTTCCCAAATGGCACTTAAAATTTTGTTACTGATAGAAACTTTAAAAGTGTATAACTATATGATATATGTTACCAGTAGTATATCTAACTATCACTAGATCTGAGTGTGGGTGGGATTGAGGAAAGAAAAATATAAATAATAAATTAACCGTGTTTGCTATATTGTTTTCGTATTTCCAGTTAATTTATTATACTAAAATACCAGATAATTACTTTGTTGTATTATAATTTTCCTCCAGAAAATCCGAAAGTCATTAATACGATTTTCCGCCTCATTAGAAACTAACTGTTGTCTGACAAAAAATTACTTTTGTCTGCGGCTTTGATAAAATTTATGGCTTGTATTGTATTGTTTTACAAATTATAAAGGAAACACTAGATTACCTTTGTATTTTCATGAAAATTTCAGACAAATTCAACATTTCACAATTAATCCATGATTTGTGGAAGTTGAAACAAATGAGATCACTTTTTACCTATCTTACAATTGAACAGCTCGAAACTAGAGTATGCTATATAATATATGCAATATAATAAAGAAACACTTTCTAGCTTCTGCTTCCAATTAGGATTTTCATTGAAAAGTTGCATGGTCGACATCGCGAGATTAATGCCAAATGTCATTGGCCTGTTTCGTCTATGATTTCGATATTACATGCGATGTTTAGTTATATAAAGCCTTAAAGTTTGTCATTTTGACCTAACTATACATATATAGAATTTCCTGTGTCGCCCCACAAGGCTAAATGTTTGTTATATTCTATCATAACTTTGTGTTATGTTCCCAGTTACTCACGTGCCTCCCGGACAACCAACGTAAATGTTAATTTGTCTTTTGATCTTCTTTCATTTATCCACTTAATTAATTGTCTGATCTCACATCTCCTCTGGTGGTAATCAACTAAGATTTTTCTCTAACAATTTTATTTTATACTAAATCAAAATATAAACTTGACCTTTTCTTAAAACCCAAACATTTCATATTCCCTTGTGACCATCGTGTACTTTGCTAAGTCTATTTTTGATGTTTACTTTACGACTTACGTTTTATATTTAGATGACACAAAGCAGACACATAAGCAGATAATAGCTTGGCTAAGACTTAAACAGATCTCATGGGAATCTTGATTTGTTTATAGTCTCCGTGAACATTTTATTAGCATCAGTTATTAGATCTGTGTATGCTGGAAATGCTAGTTGGGAAAAAGTCTCAATTCATCCGGATGAAACGGAAAAACCATAACCTCGGTTTCTCCACACATTGAACGGTAATGATTCGTCAATTGAAAAAAGGACATGGGTTGCAGTCGCTAATCGGGCAAATTATCTTTATACTAATAGGGATCATTAATAATCCAATATTAGATAAAAAGTTAACGACGTAAAACTTTAGCTCACGTATGAGATCGGAAATTGCAGTAGGCTTTTTGGACTATTGGCAGTCACTCCTTGCTAGACAAAACATGGATTCAAGTCATGACTCTGTGCCGAAGCTTTTCCGCAATCATCAATTTATCATTTAAGAGTCTCGTCTTGATATTTATATTGCTCAATTCTCTCAGGAATTATGATATAAACCGATAAAATCGTACTTCTTAAATAAATCTTAAATATGAAATTTGGAAGGCCAGATGATAGTCAAAACACAAAACCAATCTTCAAGAGGATTTTCTATATCCTTCAATTTATTTCCGATTTTCTAACTGAAAAAACATTCCAATAAAATTTATCATACGCGACTTCACCCACATCAAGAGGTGGAATATTGAAGTTGCCTGTGAATATGTCTCAAATTGAATAAGATAATATTTTGGTGGTAGAAATATGTTGGTAATGTTACTGTTATTGGTGTTTCAGAAGATGAAGTAGGTGAACTAACTGAAAAAACATTACATGTCAATGATCTTCATTATAATTTTTATTTGCGCCATTCCTATTTCTAATCTGACATCAGCAGTTACTGTAATTTCACAAAACCCTTGATTGGTGCTTTCTGCACATGTAAATGCAATTTGAATGTAAATCCACTTTGAATTCATTTAAGAAAAGTGCATGGCAACAACTGACAGTTCTTTATATCTGGATGGGAAATTGTATATATCAGCCAATGAAACACTTTGTACGGCAGAAAAGTTGCTTTTCTATCAGATAAACATCCTGTCCATACTTTACTGTCGAAATTTGACAATTATCCGTCTACAAACTAGTACGACGAAAGATGTCTAGACGTACAACTTTCCATACCATTTTCAGAGACAAGATAAGCTTGTGAACAAAATAAATAAAAAGCGAAATTCTAATTTGAGGTATTTTTGAAGGAATTGAGAGATTGTGTCCAGTTCTAGTACTTCTGGAGACTATTTACATATACATCAAGGCCCACGTCAACCCCCGAAAATGGCGATTTATTTACTTGAAGGCAAATAGCAACTAATAGATACCGAGAAATGATACTCTTATTTGAGAAATAGAAGTACAAAGGTACCTTTAGTTTTTCAGAATAACACGTCCAAGTTAACAAACGAGACAGTTAATTTTATAATCCACCAGACAATGAATTAAAATTACTTTCAATCAGTCATCCGCCATTAATTGATATAGACATAAATGGACCTAACTAATGACTTTTCACCAAGGTGCTAAATGCATTAATGACTATTTCATTTCATTTTAACGACGGGCACAATTACTTTAAATTGAATCCACAAAGGATGGGAATGGTTGACGGTTTCCTCACGCCTTTCCTTGTTAAAAACTGTGTTTAATCACTCATTAGATTTTTATACTTCGTCACCTGATGACAAAAAGGAAAGTCAATAAATTACAATGCCATTATACAGTCTCTTAATAGATAGATGGCTTGATGAAGCAGATTAAGTCTAAACTATATTTATTTATTCCAGTTAAGCATGCTATGGGCTGTCTAGTTATGTCATTTTTGTTGGTGTCTGCCATATTCTAAATTTGTCCAAATAGCTATTGAAAAATATGTCGTTTGGTAGTAAACGCAAGACATCGGTTAGAAACCACGTACTAAAAATATATTTAAGATTCTTTTATATCTATTTGAGTAAAAAATGCTATGTTCTGTCATAAACTGAAATGTTATTTCGTCCTGATATATGTTTTTTTTAATCCAAATTTGCCATTGAAAATTCTATGCTTAGTCGTTACGCGATCATTAGAAACGACACAATGGCACTTGAAGCTTTATCATCCTTTAATTATAGATAAGCCGTATATATCATTTCGTTCTGGTGTCTAGCATGTATTCAATTTGAGTAATTTCTCTTTTGACAATTACGCCGCTGTGTAACGACACATTCAAGTTTTATATCCCTTTTAATCTCAGTTAAGTATTTCATGATCGTTCTGGCTATGTCATATCGTCCTGATGTCTGCAATGATCTCAATCTTGTTAAGTCGTAAAAACGGAGAAGCAACGCGGATGTTATAGACATCTTATTCGTACTTTGATGTATACCTCCTTTATTTACGGTTATTCCACACTTGGGCAAAACAACAATGAAGACAAGCAATGCATTAATCTTATAATGCTCCTTTCATCATTGGTATCGCTTCCAAACAAGAACAGCAATTTCATGCGCATTTACTAAAGGTTTTTAAAACCTTAAGGTTACAAAATTCAGAGAGTTTTCAACAAAAAGCATGATTTTACGTAAAAAATTAAGTTCTAAATTGATTGTATTTTCTAGGTTATTTTGGAACGTGTTTTGTCGACTTTTGTGCCTCCTATGGATACGATAAAATACTGCGAACTGCAGGGCGTAACTACAGAGATTTTCTAATTGGTATTGACAACCTACACGAAACAATCAGATTCAGTTATCCCAAATTAAAAAGTCCGTCTTTTATTGTTGAAAGTGAAGACGCCAACGGATGCACCCTCATTTACAGGTCTGTGAGACAAGGATATACCAGTTACGTAGCCGGGCAACTGAGCCATTGTGCAAAGAAATTTTATAACGTGGACGTTAAAGTGACCTTAAAAGAAAACGTAGTGAAAAATAATCGAACTAATGCAACATTCCGATTAGAATTTGACAATAAAGGTTATGACCACGTTAAGAAGGCAGCAATTTGTCCTGAATATAGGACTGTCCTGGGTGCAACATTTTTAAAGGTAGGTCATCATTATCATCATCAGCATCTTCCATCACCATCATCTTCGCCATCATCGCCGTATCATCTCCGCCACCGTCGACATCTTCACCATCTTCATTCTTGCTTACTATTTATGACCTTCGAAAGGTATGGGTTAGGATCTTTGAGTAAAAGCATTAAAGTTCGTAGCTGTTTTGATCTCTGAACAATGAGGATTTTGACCTATCGTATATGTATAAACAAGACGACATGCAATAAAGCCTTCATAGAAGCAGATAATGGAGTGTGTATAAAAGGATTGTTAGTCTGTAATGGTGATTCATGTAAAGACAATTCTAATAAAATTGAAATTATTGCAGCTTGAATACAATTTTCACCTAAGGCAACTGAAAGCAATTTGACATATTTCTATTCAGTGAAACACTGTTGTGTCGGTTGACAAAGATACGACGGTCAGAATGAACGATTGCTGAATTTTTTATGGCATCAATTTACAATATCAATTTCTCTTTTTCTTCTTCTTTCAGTTATTTCCATTTTGTATATTATTTGATGAAAAGTTTGTTATACAGCATGTTGGTGAGAGTCTAGCCAATCTTATTGGAAATGTTACAAAAACTAAATTAGAAGACCACTTTAGCCTTAGACGTCCATTATTTGATTTTACTTGGGAAAATGTAAGTCTTGCTTTTACTAACTTTTTCTGGTCAGATATGCTCTATTTCTCTAGTCCAAATTAACTTGCTGTGCCCTTCCCCGACTAGCCTGCCCATCAATGTCATGTATTGTCTCTCGTTGTCCTGCACTTCAATGTCATGTTCTGTCTTGCTCTGTGCTGTGAAAAGAAAAAATATCCCTCTAAGCGCCGACTGCCTTCTAATTAGTGCTGGGTATCGCCAATCATGCCATGATATGATACGTATTGCGATACAAGGGTCACGATACACTACGTATCCCCGATTTTAATGGAATGAGAAATATCACCAAGTATCGATACACGACCTCTTATCGAAGTATATGTCGTATCGCGATACATCGATTTACCGATATAATATCGTGCCAAAACTACTTCTTATCATTTAAAAACCGTCTTCGAACTAAAGACTAGATTCCCAAACTGCTAAACAATCGATCATGGTACTAACCATGTGATAGCAAAAGAAATAGGATATTTATGTTATTCCCAATAGATTTGTACATATGTATATATTCTTCTTAACTGACACTTATCATTGACAACAGACAACAGAGACAGAACAGTTCATCTTGGGATCACGAATCCTGAATAGCGCCGTATACCTTCGAGGAGATTTTGATTTCAGTATCTCTCTTTGAAGATGTTTTAAATCGCGACTTAAACGTAAAATATAGTTCAATTAAATATGAACTAATGTTACCGTAGAAAATGTGATAATTCCAAGTAAACCGTATTAGCTGTGTGGACCATCAGAAAAGAGTGCCCTGTCGACAAACCCAGACGCAGAGTGATACCGATTTAAAGAAAATATATTTCATTTACATAACGCGGTTGTTACTTTGAAAAATATACTGGCACTATGGCCTCTGTAGGGTGTCCTTGCTGTCCTGGTGTTATTTGTAAATTCTTGCACTGTTGTATTTCAAGGGTTTCGGATGCAGGAAGTTAAATGTAATAATTTAATTACGTTATGCAACTGATCATAAAGACACCATATTATTATCTTAAATATTGCAACAATTCCCAAAAGGTTTCTCAAAATTGTGGGAGTAAGATTTTTGTATTGATATTTAATAAAGACATATTGTTGTCTATTTAATGATGTATTCACGCGTATCATTAATTTAGTTGCTTGACAGGAAAGGCACCCCTACGGGAGCTATCGACTGCGTTTGGTGGAGGTGACACGCCATTGGACATGATTCAAACAATTGTTCGACTGTTCTCAGACAAAAGCCAAAAATATTTGGCTGAAGGATCATGATAGACTTTAAACGGTATCCACTTTTTCTCATAGACATATCATATTCATATTTTAAATTTCTTTTTTATTTATTTATTCTTTTTTGTAAAAATCGCCATGATCCTGACCGAGATCTTGACGTGTTTTCTTAACGTGATTGTCACATTCACCACCGAAATGACCCTGGTGTATAGACGCTTAATAACAGTTCATACCAATGAAAAAACCAGAACATTTGCTCTCATCGTTTGCTCTCATCTGAGACACTTCTATTCTATTATAGGAGAAGTATGTTTACATGACGAGGCATAATCTAATTTTCCCATCATTATTTGAGACTGTCGTAATCTTCAAATCAATTCAACTCCCGTCTAAACATGAGATCAAACGCTTTAACTTAATCAAAGAATACCAACAGACGCCAAGAGCAAAAATATTACCGTATAGTTGACATACAGATATTTTAAAGCATACTTCTAATGAAATAAGACTCTATAAATTAAACATTAAAGGCGTTGTCCGGTATGAATTATGACTTCAGATCAGTAAAATGAAGCAGTCGAGAAGTTCTTATTCCTTTTATTGTAAGGGTTATACTAATTGACATGTGCTTCTATGTTATAATCGCTATCTTATACTAAGTATGTTTTGGAACTATGTTTACTGGAAAACCATTTTGTCACAAATCAATATATAACTAACGGTAAAATCGTAGTGAAAGCTTAGACATCTTACCACAACAAAAAGAAGCATTTGTTCCCAAATGGAGAAAAAGCTTAGTTATCTTGTCAAGTCAATTTCCTAGTAGGATTGCAAGCGATTATAAATTTACAATCTGTTTTAAACAGAGTGTTTATCATTTGATTGTTGATATTTTCTTGACTTGCTCAGATTTTTCAGTTAATTTGGGTTGCCTTTGGACCTCTTTCTCCCTTTATCTGCTTTTGGGTTTTGCGTTTGACTTGTGAATTGCAGCTTGGATATGTGTTGAGTATTATTTACCACAAAGAGTACTAAGAACTGAGAGATATTTCAGTAAGCCTTTAACAGCACTGATTGCTTCATGGATGAGACTTTTTTAATCAGGGAAAGTTTACAGTTTAGCTTGGATCAATATAACTCTTTTGAGTTTAAAAGATATATGGTTGAAAACCAAACAGATCTGAATCTACTTGAACTTGAGATGCTCTAGCACATAACTAAATCAATATCGTCTTCTCAGTTATACTATTGTATTCAATGTAACTAAATAATACAAGAGAGGAAAGGGATACAATCATGTAGATATCTGATCTCTGGTAGACCTCAGGAGTGTTTAAAGAATAAAATATGTCTAGACATGATTCTTTTTGAAAAATGTCAGCAGATGTATGGAATTCAAACAGTTGTTACTTGTTCTATTTCTAGATTAGACGCACGGTTTTCATTCTGAGAATGTTACGAGTTGCTCTTCTAGCTATATTTGTTGCCGTGGGATATAAGGAAAGCAAGACATCCGAAGTGGTAAATATTCGTCACTTCCAATGTTGCTTGGAAGTCGTGTTTTCTATTGGAGAATTTCGGGTAGCTATTGAGCAACCCAAGCATCCGAGTTGTAACGTAAAAATGCTTGGAACCAATCAGACACATGTGAAATAACGCTAACGGAAGTAAAAAAAAATCTATAAAGCGCATGAGTGGATTGAATTCTGCAAACTATTATCCAATTATATAATATATTTTCCTTCCGGTATCACTTTTTTATTTTGCGGAAATCTCTCTTTAAAACCGTGTGATACTCATAACCTATTATGAAATGAATTTTAACTTGTATTATTGATATTGTATTATTTGCATAAAATCGTTTAATAGCGTGCAAGATATATATATCTTAAATGGCTTACACATATCAAACCACTTGGGTCATTTCCAATTCTCAAAGATCAGGTTTCACCGAGAAGAATACTGGCACCGTAGAAGAGTTAAGACCACACGCGATTTATTATATCCGTCCTAAAGAATATTTGATTCTATTTGAAGGGAACGATTTATTAAAATCTATGTTCTTTTCCTAATGATGGGTTATTTAATGGTATTAAGATGCAGTGTAGTCTTGAACAGTTTCATTTCAAATTTCCTTTCGATTTCAGAATAAGTTTCCGACATTTGCATCGGAGGACTTGTAATGCATTTTAAAGCTTAATCCGAAACATATTAAAACTTTTCCTCTGAAGCAAAGCTAAACTTATTAATTCTTGAAAGAAATCGTTTATCTGATTCCAATAACAATTAACCGACTTTGAACTTTTAGATTTGGATTTAAATAATATGACAATAAAACCGAAAGTATTTGGAAGAAAAATGTAAACATTGATTTCGGTCGAATGAGACACTCATTAAATTCCATATTCAAGTTATTCGAATGCGAAGTTACTTTTATTTGTCGGATTTGATTTCTTGAAAATGACCCTAAATAGATTTCGAATGCCTAGATATTGATATTTAGAAATAGACTCTAAACTTCGATCTTATGGACTTCAATCTGTTATAGGTGAAAGTTCTTTTTCGAATTTCGAATCTCCGGATAAGGATCTTGCAGGAATTGCAGGAACCACTGGCGTCTGATCAAAAATGGGAATGGTGCAAAATGATGCTATCAGTGTCCCCGATACACATACAAAATTTAGAAAACCTCTGAACAATCCCTTTAAGATGAAATTATATGTTACGCAGTTGAGATGTCATTTGATGCATTGTTATGGAATCTATGGTTTGATTTTGACGTGTAACTGTGTTAATCATAAATTATCTTGGCTTAAATCTTATCCCTTTAATCACTGTTATTTTAGACCAAGCCTCTGATCTCCTGTCAAATGAACATACTTGTTATTCTAGATCTGAGTTCTATTCAAGTCCCATTCATAATAGTAATTTCCCTTGATTCTTTAAGCTTCTTATCAAATTTGATTTATGTTCTTCTATTTACAGATTTTAAGTCTCCAGAAAGTTATATTTGAATTAGAAGCTGTAAATAAATTTGAATTGCCTCAAAATAAATCTAGTTCTTCCAAGAAATCCAGCCATTCCAAAAAGCTTTTACTCAAAGGGCAAATGAAGCTCTTAAAAGAGTGGAAGATGGTGGCCTTTTTATGCACTCCTTTGTAAGTATTGGTGTCGACAAAGTAGTATACCTTACTTCATCTTTGAATACCTGTATGCAAGGAGCGGAGATGGGAAGCTGAAAGAGGTTATGGTTTACTGTGTAAACTCGATGGTTGGATACAATCTATAGGAAAGGCAAAACTCAACCCATCACAAAAACTGAACACTCCGCCTACATCAGACTCTCTGACCTCCATCAGAGGAATGAGCTCTGAGCTTTCTCGGCTTTTGTCCTTGTCGACGCCCTTTGATGAACCCATGACTAGCTGATACAGATCTTTGACCTCTACCAGAAGTCAATTAAAATCATGAAAGCATCATTAATTTTTTAGTTTGATAATACTTAGGCAACCCGTTGAACTGTGATCAGCAGAGATCATTAACCCTACTTTGTAGATTGTGTTAATGTTGTTTTCTTTAAAGGACTCTAGTCGTATACTCAAGCCCCGATTGGGACCGATCAATTTACATAATTATAATTTGACGCATACTTCGTCTGGTACCTGAAAGTGTTTTTAGTTCTGTTACAACTGGTATAAAGTCCAAGATACTCGAGGTTATTCCTTTAAATGTGCTCTAGTTTTCAGTCCACACTCCCTTTATATCCAAATAAATAGTAAACTATTTTAATAGTGAAAGTACAAAAACATATTTATCTATTTTCAGAATAACTAATCTAGAAGATATGCAAAAAATGGGATTATATATAAATGATTTAAATATGTTTGATAATAGTCGAGAAATGGTGTTAAAAGGTTGGCATAATGCCTCGCAATTAGAACACCGGGTTGATCAGGTAAGCTTTTAGTTCACCCAATCAGCAAGTCAATAAGACTAATTTACTGGTTTTAATGAGATTTATATGATGTCTAGCTTGAGCAGGAATTTTGAAAAAACTCTATGATGGAGTGAAAACCTAGCGTCGGATCAAAAACAAAGGAAATCTTCCCCTGGAGAAGTCTTCTTCGATAAGGAAATTTGATTTTTTTAATTTTTTCTACAACACGCGGTTCAAAACATAAGATCTGGAAACCTTTCATGTCTTTTGTAATGGAGTGATGTCGACTAACGGATGAAATTTCGTTACTTATACGTAGAAAATGGTAAAGCCTTACTTTAAAAAATTGAATTAAAAACTTGAAAATTAATTTTCACCCAGGTATTAATTCTAGAATTTTAAATTAAAAAGGTGTATTTTCACCTCGGTGATAATTCAATAATATTTAATTCAAAACTTGAGGGTGAAAATTTAACTTTTTAAATCAAAATTCTAGAATTTTCATCCGGTTGAAAGTTTTTAATTCAAAATTATGCTTTATAATTATATTCCAGTGTTTTAATTCATAATTAAAATAAATAAATAATGTCGTAAACGAGCCACCGTAGTTATAGGCGTTTGCAACTAAGAATAATTTTAAACTGCGATTTTAGATAAATGTTCAAAGTAGAAATAGGACACAGGAATGTTTCTGTTCTGATTAAATTATATTTTCTAATGTGATTTTTATTGGCAATAAAACAGATCAAAAATTCATAATTCAATCAGTTTTAAGTGTAAAATTGTTTTTAAATTACCAATATTCTTAAATATCCAATAAAATAATTCGACTCTTGTTTTCTTCCAAATACTGTACCGGGATAATCTAGATCAAAATTGCCCATTTAAATTAAATAAGGCAACCCAAGAAAATGATTTTTGAATGGCATTTGTATTATTTGTTAGTGCTCGGTGCAAATCAAATGCTGTCGACACGAGTATAGGATACACGATACACATCAGGGTAACGGGCTTTTGACATGGATTAACTTTCAACTCCAATATTGGAGTTCATGTGTACAGACGAAAGCGGCGAATAAAACTCAATGAACATGATCGAGAAATTGATATCAGAGAATATTTTAGAGAAAGCAGAAACCTGTGTCGTAGAGCTGACATCACGTTTGTGGGGTACATTAATAATAAGTTAACAAACTCACATAGTATTACATTCCTTGATTTGAATGAAGGAAAACATGACTTCCGGTTTGGGCCTTACTTAACCGTAAAAGATTTTGTGAAGATCTAAACGTTAACACGTATATATGAATTATTGATTTCAGCGTTCAATAATTGTTTTGCTTACGGTTGCCAATAAGGCATCATATAGAAAAATATTGCCTCGATCAAAGAAGACTGTATACCGTGCCAAGATGAAGATTCAAAACACAAATAAATAGCAAATGCAAAAGCTGGTTGAACTTTGTTTTTAAACTCATTGAAGTATTGAATGTAACCTTAATTTTCAATAGCATTGTTAATGTACTAAACAGTCTGAAGAAATGAGACAATTGTTCACAATGACAAGATTCTAACAAATTTTAAACACGTTTCTGGAACACAATGAATTTGATCTCCAGCCGCCACTATTTAAGGAATAAATTGCAATGAACTTGAAAGTTAAACGTTGAGTGGCATTGTTCTCTTGTCATTGAATAAAACTGGTACAATACAGTCAGTCGTGTAACATTTTTCAATATTGGGTTGAAAAGTGAACCACTGATTGCATAGTCGATATATTGAAAAATGTATTGCAAGTTAGTTAAAAGTATTTAATGTCAGTCACCTAAACACACACTTATTGCATCTAATCCTTTGTGATAGAGATACTTACTGCATCTAATCTTTAGCGACAGAGATACTTACTGCATCTAATCCTTAGCGACAGAGATATCTACTGCATCTGATCCTTAGCGACAGAGATAATTAGTGCATCTAATCCTTAGCGACAGAGATACTTACTGCATCTAATCCTTAGCGACAGAGATACTTACTGCATCTAATCCTTAGCGACAGAGATACTTAGTGCATCATACTGAGCGACAGAGACACTTACTTCATCTAATCCCTAGCGAATGCATCTGCATCAGAGAAAGTTACACGACTACTGTTACTGTTACTGTTGAAATAAGTAGATTTTAAAGCATGATAGACAAAAAGTCATAAGTGGTTGTAGTGCGAAATCCTTTTCAACGTATGTCTTTTATTCGTATTTCACTGTTGATTTTCCGAACCGTGAATGCTCTTCAGAACACATTTGTTGCATAACGGTTTCCTTTAATCTTGTTCTTTAGCAAGTTGCAGCCAGTAAGAAGATTGAAGAAAATTTGAAACAACAAGAACAATGGCGACGGAAGGGTGATCTTCTGTTATATTCTATGATGCCTATAACCATAGCTAAACGATTGAAAAATGGCGAAGATCCTATCAATACATGCGAGGTAAATACCTCTCAAATTTTCTTACTCAATATGCTCAATATCTAAATAAAAGTAGACTCCTTCAAACACCATTAGGTATTTCGAAAAGTGTGAGCCTGGTCTACTTCGCGCGCGACAACCATCACTACTATATACTACTACCAAATACTTGTAATATCTCAAAGGGTATCAGCATTTATCGAGGACACTTGTATTCTTATTTGCATCAACCCATTTGAAGTCTGATGTTCCTTATTTCTAGAATATAGATCGGATCGTAAACGCATTGAAAGCCACCTTTATGTTGGAACTTCATTTTTATACGCCCACGCGTAAGATGGGCGTATATTGTAACCATCCCGTCGGTCCGTCGGTCCGTCCGTCCGTCCGTTCACATTTGGCTCGTGCTCACTCTACAGGCTACAGTTCTTTATGGATTCTTTTGATTTTTATTTTGTATGTCAATGTTGTTATGAAGATGATCCCTATTGATTTTCGTGATGATCGGATAATTTTTCACCGAAATATCGTGTCCGACTTGACGTTTTTCTCTATTAGCTATATTGTGCAACTCGTGCTCACTCTACAGGCTACAATTTTTTACAGATTCTTTTGATTTTTATTTTGTGTGTCAATGTCATTATGAAGATGATCCCTATTGATTTTCGTGATGATCGGATAATTTTTCACCGAATAACGTGTCTGACCTGACGTTTTACTCTATTAGCTATATTGTTCAACTCGTGCTCACTCTACAGGCTACAATTGTTTACAGATTCTTTTGATTTTTATTTTGTATGTCAATGTCATTATGAAGATGATCCCTATCGATTTTCGCGATGATCGGATAATATTTCACTGAAATATCGTGTCTGACTTGACGTTTCACTCTATTAGCTATATTGTGCAACCCTGTAGTCACTAAAGATTGTTTAATCATTTCTGACAGCTGCCAGTGGGCGTATGTTACCTTGCCTGGCAAGCTATCTTTTTTTCAATCCCTTGCAACAAAGGGCCGTTCTTCTATAAATTAATATTATCTGATAAAGTCTCAAAATAACCACTGTGTTCCGACTTAATTATATAATTGCTCTGGGTTGGAAGAGACCTCTCATTGGCCTGAAAGTAGATATTTCTGTAACATATCCAAGATTCATACCGTACCAGGATAAAAGTACACGTAATATAGACATCATCAGCATTACGACAAATTGATCAATGAACTGCTCAAGGGCTTCAAGAAGATGCTCTCTATGGGGTGATATATCTAATAAAAAAAACAGCTAAAATGGTTTATTGATTAACAGATCATATATAACTTTCGATTACCGTATAATATCTGAAGTAACCCATACAATTCATCTAGGATTTATATAATGCAGACATCCATCACATTGGCTCGATCAAAAAAATTGAAATGACAGAATCGAGAATTTCAAATTATTGTTTGAGTCATTTAATTCAGACAGTTTTTACTTTTATCGTCTCCCCCATTCTGCACAATGGACAAGGTCTTCATCTTATACCTTGATTGCAATGACCCCTTTCTTGTTTCACATTCAACGATTTCATTGGATTGTACGCCAGCGAATACAGCCAATTAAAACCTCCGATTTCATGCGTTATTATGCCCGGGGATCAGATTAGCTGTATTCGCTAGCTCACAATCCAATCAATTTGGTGCTTTCACAAACTTCAGTGAAACAAGACAGTGGGTCATTGCGGTCAAAATATAAGATGGAAACATGATACCACGAGCATTATGGAGATGCGTCTACTTGAGTGGCCGGAATCTTCGATCATCTATCCTTTTCTAGTAGTCGATTAACTTCTGGATATGAGCGTTTTGCTCAAGTCATCGATAGCGGATCAAGTGAGGTGCTTTGAACCACCAGTCGACCTGAACAAGTTTTTTCTATAATGACGCAACTTGCTCCAAAAGATTTACCAGCACCATCTTTGTCGATTATTAGCGAAATAAAGTTTTTAACAAAATAACTTTTAAATATATCATAAAACAATCGGTTCTCGTCACTTTTTATTTTGATATATTTGACGTTTTCGTGGACACATTTCGGGCTTGATTAGGTGATCGATATTTAGTGAAGCCGTTGTCATCTTGACTGTCAATTTGTTTTGATGGAGTGTGGTAATTATTTTTACCAGAAAACTATATGGTATATTAATTGCCCCGAAACAAAATAATGATTGCTTTTTAATTGTCTTTCCTTGAACCTTTTGGTATGTTTCTGTACCATTGTTTATCACATGGCATGTTCTGATATACTTCTTTAGAGTGCAATAGATGGGTTTACAATGCTGGAGTAACCAGATCTACAGACCTTCTGTATAGTGTATTCCGGAGTAGACCGAAACATCTGCCTATATTCCAGCATCTGATAGCTATTTGCCTGGCGGAAAAATAGGCTCTGTAAAATGGGAACTTTCCGTATTACTTACTTCCCTGATGGACCATGAATAAACAGCTATTCTCTTCTACAAAAAGCTATTAGAAATAAAAACACTTCACTCGAGAAAAAATCGTGTAACAATGACCCACATTTTTATCTGATAAAAACATATTTACAAATAATCACTTTTTCAGTGGTTGATATTTTCATCATCCAAAAACAATATAAGACTCTCTGTAGTATTTTGTAGTGGATATTTCATACGAAAATGATTGATACAATTCGATTCTGTAAACTATGTTGACAGACAGTAGCATTAAATTTAACCATTAGGGATTAATGCTGTCTGATAAATCTAATCGATTAAGTGGTTATGCAGGCCTAATTAGATTTGAAATATGACATAATCTGATTGTCTTGTCTCTGAATTTTTAATGGGTAATTGTATTTTATGCAATCTATCAAACACGATGTACTTCCGCTATTTACGCATAGTAAAAAATTGGAAAAAATCTTCCCAAAGCCAACTACAACCTGCAGATTTGTGTACAATGGGATAGAGCGCTTGTTATTTAGAAGTTAGTCCAAACAGCACATTGAAATATTTAGATGGATTTCTCTAGGACTTGTTCCTTAGTTTGCTTTAAGAATGTGTTACCTAGATTTATTAATCATGCTCTACAAGATTTACAACTTAAATGATAGGCTTTTTAATATCAGAGTCTGCTGTTTGGCCCTCCAAATATCTACTCCATAATTCAGATTTAATATTATACCACAGACACTGGCAAGTCTGAAACTAATAAATATCACAACGATGCTATCCCCAGGGCATCTCAATAACATTACATCTTCAAACAACTATCAACAATTATAACCTCTTTTTATACGCATTCAAATTTGGACGTATATTTCCGTCGACCCCTGTCCGTCACCTTTCTTGTAGACATGCCAGAGACTGCAGTTTTAATTCGATCACGATGAAACTTAGTATGCGTGTATATTATATATGTTGATTGAACGGTTTTTGAGTTATTGCCCTTGACTTAGTAAAAGTACTGATTATCACTTAAGGTAGAAAGGACGTTGAATATTTCACGTATATTGGAATCGATTGAGATAAACAAATGAAATTAAATGTAGTTTAACGTCATGATTTTTTGTCTTGGACAATTGTAGATGAGCAATGAGATTGGTTATACCACCCGTAAGACAAGACTCGATTCGATACAGACTTGCACCAATGACAGAGTTGAGAAAACGATCTCTTGTATATCAAATCCCAGGAGATCTCAACATCCGACAACCAGATCAGCCTATTTTTAGCAGCATTGAAGACAATCTTGCATGTCAAGTAATTATTTACAGGGACAGGTGCGCCATTTTAGGGGGTTGATTTGAGATTTGAATATATGTAAATAGTCTTCAGAAAAATGAAAACTCTTTTTAACACGGATAATTCTGGACATGGATTTGAAGACTCAAATTTCGACGGTGAGTTCTGAACACTAGAACTGATTGGCTTAGCTACAAAACATCCCGTCTCTGAGACTCGTTTATGGTGTGCATCATGAATTAAAGTATCCCCGGGTATCCTTATCCGACTAAATGTATACACATTAAACTAGTAGGCTGCACCGGTTGGACCTCACTTAGCACAAACTAATAGCTCGATAATATTGTTGGGAATAGCTTGGCGAAGCAAATCATGATAATGGTTCCAGTGAGGAAGAGTTCCATCTTATCTTGTGGAGAAAGTTTTCAAAACTCTGGTTCTGATACTCTCATTCATGATTTATATAAATTCCAGTGGACATTTCAGATAATATAGTGCTAAATCGATCTGTGATATTAAAGCCCCATTCCAGAAATAAAATCTACCACATTTCATTCGATTTTCTATTAGGATTTACTATAAGTTGTAATTGAATATAATGGTTTTATTACAGAATGGTGTGATCATATTTCACTTAGTGCCTCAGAGTGTTTTTGACACCCAAACGACCCTTTAACGACTTCCGGGATGTATCGTTGATTACATCACAAGGGAGGATGTTTCATCGGAACTCTCCGAATATCATCGGAAGTCGTCAAGGTAGACGCTAAGACTTGAGTAAAACCTTTTGATTCCCCTCTTATCAATGAAGCAGGTCGGATCGACCGACTATTTACTGAGTCATGTAACATTTTCTTTTCTGACAACATCCTAGTCCCAAACTAGCTCAATGTCACCAGTCTATAAAATGATCAGTCAGAGACTATGAGACTTGCAGTCAGCCATTAGGATGATTAATTTTACCATGTTTACTAATTGGTCATACGACAAATAATACGTCGAAAGGAAGCATGTAAAATTCAATTTAATTGCAATCTAAATTTAGCGCTTAAAATTAAATAAATAATCCTCTCACGGAAGATAATCTGAAATTACACATGATGATTGTCACGCAGACCCAGTGACATTTTATAAAACAGCTTTTTTGTCACATATCTGATTCTCGTTGACAGTAATCTTGATCATCATACAGCCTAATATCACGTAAACAAATGTCTATTGCTAATAACTAGTTGGTCACGCATATGACTCTCTGAATTAAGATCAAATTACTTGAATTACTGGCAACCAGACCTAGCAGACATGTAAAGTAATTTTACAGGAATTTCGATTCATGACTGAATGGCACTGACAAGCCTGAAAAAATAGATACGCATTGTTTACGATCAGTGCTTTTCTCGCGTATACAAGAATGACAATGTTTAAAAATTTATGAGAATGACAATGTATTAAAACTTAATAAGAATGGTAATGTTTTAAAACTGTATAAGAATTATAATATTTTAAAACTGTATAGGAATGATAATGTTTTAAAAATTAATAAGAAGGATGATGTTGTTCAACTATATGAGAAACTTTATAAGAATGACAATGTTTTAAAACTATAAGAATGACAATGTTTTAAAACTATAAGAATGACAATGTTTTAAAACTGAATAAGAATGGTAATGTTTTAAAACTGTATAAGAATTATAATATTTTAAAACTTTATAAGAATGATAATGCTTATAACTGTATAGGAATGATAATGTTTTAGACCTGTATAAAAATTATCTTTGAATAAAAACGTAATAAGAATATCTTAGTATGAAAACGTAATGAGAGTTATCTTTGTATGAAAACTGAATGGGAATGAAAACGTTTTAAAAATGGAGAGGAATGATAAAGATAATGTTTTAAATATGAATAGGAATGATACTTTACAACTTTAAAAGAATGATCATAATGTTTAAGAGCTAAATAAGAAAGATAATGCCTAGAAGGTTTATTGAGTAATAACGCCTTAGAACTTCTTCAGAATGAAAATAATTTAAAATACAAACAATTATTATTAAGTTGTTGTGGATGCTAATGGCAAGGATTATGTCTCTCTTTTTGGTTTTTCAGACATTTGATTGTGTAACGATAATGTTTTGTTATTTTGTTGGATTTGACGAGATGTGTGGGAGGGCATCACCATTACAAGTTGTTGAGTTTATAAACAATGTTTTTATTGTATTTGATGATGTGGTTGACCGACATAAAGCTTTTAAGGTATGTGTATGGTATTTTGACACATTTACACCAAAGAACTTAATTTGTCTGTATATATAATAATAATAATCATATCTTTTCGGTAGCCTGACCGTTTTGTTTACAATGGACAGATTGCAAGTCTTGTCAGTCCGTTTATAGTCTCCAAGCGTTATGCGAAACAGATACACGGGTCTTAATATACAACCAAAAACTTAATAAATGGCAAACCGAGTCACATGCGTTACGCTTCCCTCCCCCTTCTCTTGCAAAGTGCAAAACTGCTTCTGGAGAGGCATAGAACCACCTCTTGACTCGTATGTGAACAATTTGTTAACTGCCTGGTTTGCTGTGACCTTCCGTGATAATAAGTGTCACTCGATTCATATGTGTTATGGAAACCCCAATGATCAGCTACTTACTGACAAAGAATAAGCCTAGTTCTAATTTGCACAGTTGTTCGGCAGAGAATATTAATGCCCAAATAAGCTCTGAAGTACAACCAGTGTATCATCACAGTCTCATCACATGGTGCATACAAATTGGTTTGGTTATTGATAATGTATACTCTATTTAGGTAGAAACATTAGGAGATGCTATATATATGGTCGCTGGTGGTGTACCAGACAGACAACCTGGTCATACAGAACGATTAGCTAATCTATCTCTGGAGTTTGTAGAAAAAGCAAGTGCCTTCAAAGATCCACTTTCTGGAACTAATTTGCAAGCTAGAATTGGTAAGTTAATGGAGATATTAAGGAATTTAACAATACTAGTGGTATGACAAATCTAAATATAATGTCATTCATCGGATTAAGTCGTAACCTTTTTCTTGTTGACCACGTATCGTTGAATGACGTAAACGGTCTTAATAATCGCTATATCCCAAGCGCCCTCTCCACTACAAAGCGTTATTCTACAAAAAAATGAAAATAGCAAATTTCTTTTTTGAAAATTGTTACTGCCAACAAATATGTTTCATCTGCATTGGGCTGATAAAGAAGATTTTACTTTGGAATTTTAGTATGTATATTTATCTTCAGGTATGCATATAGGAAGTATAGCAGCTGGTTTGGTAGGAAGGAAAACCTCCCAATATTGTTTATTTGGTGATACTGTTAACACAGCCTCAAGGATGCAGTCCTACGGTGAGGTAAGGTCACTTTGGACGCAAAAAACCGATGAACAGATGAGACGGTAGTTCACTTAATTTAAAAAGATTCTTATGATGCGCATGATGTTATGTGCTTGGTCATGTCAAACAAATGGTGGTCTTCGGTTCGATCAGCCTATCAAAGTTTGGGTACCTCGTTCCTCACCAGTCCACTGTACACAGCTGTAAAAAGGTATGGATAATCCGGAAAAATTTACAGTGTTAGATCTGTCGATATATCAGTCGATCTTAGTTATTTACAAGGCTACTTCTAACACTTAATCTCTTACTGACACAATTTAGTAGTGGTTTAGTTCACAATTAATTTAGGTCTGGAGATATTTGATTGGTTTTCTTGGACGCCGTCAACACTTAATACATAGAATTGGGTCATTGATGACAGCTGGTAGGAAAATTAAATAACATCGCTGAGTAGGTTCTAAGGATGGTCAAATTTGCCTCATCGGATAGATAGAATATACAGATTTGGACTTTTAGTTGAAAAGTCAAATTTATTTCTATAACTTAGCCTGGTCAGATTCGTATCCATCTTTATATCCAAAATAATTGGCAGTGTTATGAATGCCACTGTGTATGTTGTTGACAAATAATTAACCAAATTTTTATTCCATTTATCATTCTATTGTTCATTCCTGTTAATGTTTATATATCAGTTGGTTAATAAATATCATTAGATCTTTAATGTTAACATGGTTATCAGACGAAGGTCGACATTGATCTTTGACAATTCAATACACAAACAATAGTCTTCAAAATTTGCTGTTTGGGCAACCTGATTTGACAAACATTTGAAAAAAGCATCTTGATTATTCCAAACGGCTGTCCAACACCAGTACATATGACTTATATTTGTGCAAGTCGCACTTAAATTACATAAAAATCTGTGCTTGACAGTGACGGCGCCAGTGAGGTCATGGGGGGGGGGGGGCACCCTAAAAAGATTGTTTGCGTCCCAAATTGTAAATTCTATTCGAGAGTTGCCGCTTTTTGAATTCAGCCTCGACAGTTATCTCCCCCATTGCGTTATGCTGCCCTCTGTCTGTACCCTAAGTCTTAGGTTCTTGGACACATTTGACACTTTGGCCCCAAAAATTTAGAATGTGAATGAACTGTACTTGTTCTAGATAAGTTTATTAGCAGATTTATTGTAGATTTTTTTAAGAAACACGGTCTAGTTAATTTGAATCTGCTTATATCAAAAAAATGTCATGAGAATTCGAAATCGGTTTAAGTTTTGATCTTTTCTTTCCGCGCTTTAATTGGCTTAATATAATATTGGCTGGCTATATATATAAATATATACATAAATGTCGACTGAGACATACACAACCTTCTATTTCAGGCAGGAAAGATTCATATTAGTGAACCATGTAAAGAATACTTACAGGATAAAGGATTTATTATTAAATATCGAGGCTATCTGGAAGTTAAGGTGAGTATTATTCTACTTCCGGTTCCGGAAACAACCTTTGATTGGATTGAGATCATCATAAGTCGGATTAAATGTGGCGTCCCATTCAGACGCAGATTTTGCTGATGATCGTTTATTAAATCCGCTATATAACATGTCACAGAGCTTGTTAAGGGTTTCTTTAACTATTGCAAATTTTGCGAAGAACATCTTATAGGACCATTGCGATAGAGACGATATAATGATCTTCAGCCATAAATGTGAATATTATGTATGTCAGATCTTTCTGGAATGGTTCTTAAACCGGTTACCTTTCTCCTTGAAAGAAATATAATGATGACATAATTATAGCCTTAGGCCGACACCAAACGTCATTAATCGGATCAGTTCCAATCATTGGAAAATTTACCTTTACTTTTTGTAAATGTCTCAATTTTTCTTAACATGACAATTTGGTTAAAAAATCGGATTTTATAAACGTCTGTAAGTGTAATCAAACTATAGTCTAAATGTTACAGTCTAAGATTTTAATTCAGAAAATATGTGAATATAATATAGAACAAGAGAAAAATGCACTTAAATTCCCTCGAAATTACTTTCCGCTTCCGCCATGAGGGCAACTCGTGGTTTTACTTTCATTTCCACTCGTTTCATAGAGTATGTGAGGTCTTGTTTCCATTCAAACCACGTGATACCAGTAATAACTCCATCTGGTGTGATATTCTGCTCGCCATTGGGGTAGAAGATACCATTCAAAGAGGCATAGCTACAAGCATTGAACCACCATCCAGAACGATCTTTATTAGCACAGCTAGCATACCATTTATCATGATCTCTGTCCATGGAACTGAAAAACATATCATTGTGGTATCCCAGAGAATCACCGGCTGTTCCCGAGAAGGCACCAATGTTCAAACGATATTTGTCATCCTCGTTTGCAATTTTGAAATAATCGTACTGGGCGTATGCGTGTTGGTCTTCCCAATCCCACATATCAATACGCAGAGTGTAGTTGGTGTTCCGTAACATATAGTACATGTTCTCGTTTCCAAGGTAGAATTCGGAATTGACGTTCCCAAATCCGAAAGCATAATCGTCCCAGTTTCTGGTGAAGTTGACGGATCCATCAAATCGTCTCTGTATCAATGTCCAACCTCCGCCATCTGTCTCAAAATCACACCATACATTGACGACGTATCCACTTGGTAATTTAATTGGGTAGATACCACTTATTGTGATTTGACTCATCTTCAATTCATAACAATCTGAAAACAATTGGAATGGAATTAAAAACTCTTTTTTATAACCTTACAGCTACCAAATTAGAACAAACGGCATTTAGCATTTTTCATTAAGGAGCATATCGGAAACGAACATTTTCATGCCATTTTGCGCTCTTGATTTTGTTACCTTACGTAATCGGATTTGATTTATTTGGTATAACCTCAATGCTCATATCAAATTCATTTGATATTCACATAACGTGTTTCACATTATTACATCTGACTACGTTATATAATACAAATCATAATTGGATACTCCGGGTTATAAACATTCACAACAATAATAAACTTACTACGTGCTACTGGGATATCCTTGAGTGCAGGGAACCCTCGAGCTCTATTTGAACTTGGTAGATTTTTTACTCGATGAAAACCAGCTTGCATTTTGGTGTCAAGGCGGGACAATTTTCTACAATCAAAATAAATTCACTGGACTTCAAAGATAATACAACCTTCAAAGAAATTTAAGGGCATAAATATGTTTTATGAAAAATCGTTTAAAAAAATATCACAATGACATGGTTTCAAATATAGTGGACATAGTGAAAACCTACTGAAGATATTGAGAGGGATTATTTGTCTGTAAGTGCAGTCTGTAAATGTAATCTGTTAACAACTGATATAAAGGTTGTTGTGCTTTTTAGATTTTTTTAAATGCTTCCACAACAGATTTTTATATTATTTATAACTATTTATGGATTTTTCGTTTCATGTTTTTGTTTTCTAACTGTAAAAAAAATGACAGAAAAAACCATCCAGATTTGCATTTTAATCAGATCGGATATTGACTGTTTCAAAAACTTTTTCGAACTTTGGAGACGATGCAAATGGTGGACCATTCGTGTGATACTGTATTGTATTGATTCACGACAACCCTAATAGGGAATTGCTAATGAGTGACAATTACACTTACGTAAGGATGCTGTTGAATTGTCGATCTCTTGTGCTTTTTTCACTCAACATATCTGACTGTAGACGTTCCAGCACCATACACTGGTGTTCATTCTGTAACGCTGTTGGTAGATTCCGGTATGCTGAGGATTGACAGATATTCTCTTGACTTTGACATTGGAGAGCGAAGATGGTCAATACTGTCAGTAGGACACTGGTCAGATGATATATCATCTTAACTGGAAAATATTGACATTGTGTACAACAGTCAGGGAACTCATAAAATGGAACATCTCAAGGATTACGATCGTCGTTATTTTACATTTGTGTACTTACTTAACCTACAATTCCTGTATTGAGGCATAAAATAAAATGAAATATATTTCTTTTTCCGACTGTCGAGGGATCTTAAACATGTTATAATCTTTTAGGTCCTAAGTTTATTTTACAAGGGAAACTTTATAAATATTGGCTAGCAAACCGAGCTTTGATATCTATGCAAAAAGTAATTGATATGACCATAGGTGCCATTACAAAATTAATTTCAGAGAAAGCAAACATTACAAATCAATTTTATAGAAAGACCTTATCAAATTCGCCAAATTTACTCATTGCATCAAATTGTCATAAATGGGATAACAATGAGTGATAACTTATAAAAAGATTAATATTCTAAAAACATTATTTAAGAGACTGTTAGCATGCGTATAAATATCTACCGCCTACCTGTATTACAAGAATTATAACCACATTGAAAAACACTACTTTATTCTTGGCACGATTCTCTTTATGAAATTTCTCGATAGAAAACGAACATGATAAAAGGGTGACTAGAGGAGAATCAACTTTCACCGATTACAGATTGACAACATATGTGACAAAAACACGACCAATAGATCCTTTTCAAAATGAAGGCCACATGTTTTGTGTGTTTCCTTTGTTTTATTGTTCTTATGATGCTGCCAATAGATTGTGGTTCATTTCAAACGCCGTTGGCATTTTCTGTAGAAAAAAAATGAAAATGTTATATTGAGATAAACAGTATTACTGCATGATTTTCTTTGACATGTTTCTATTGCATTCCAATTCCAATAGAGGTCGAAATATCTTTGAATGTTCTCATCTGTAAGAGATATAGTCTTGATATTTTCCTTTTAAGCTCAATTTAAAGCCATCCAAATCACTTTTCAGAATATCATGTCTGGTGTCTGTTTCGCCTGCGTATCGGCGAAATTCAAGAGCAGTTACGATTTTCATACGCATCTTATATGCCATTATATCCGTGATATGAGAGCTCATAACTAACAATTCTTCATAGCATTTTTTTCTTAATTCTTATAACAATCAAACTAAACGTCAAATTTCGTTCAAAAACGTGATAAGGATAGCTTATTAACAGCTGTCATTGTGTCAAAATCTGCACAACGATAATTCATTTCCACCCACAGGAAAAACGGAACAAAATATCACGAGCTGTATTTTAATTAGATTATGTGAACTGGAATCGTTGATGTTTATGAATTTGTTTTTATATGTTTTACAGGGAAAAGGTCTTCAAACAACTTATTGGTTAGAGGGCAGAGAGGATGAAGAAGAATTACATAATAAATTAATACAAACTGATCTACGAAAGTACACTAGAAAACCTCCTAGGTAGTATGTTCAATAGATGCCGAATATTTGATATCAAATGTACTTTTCATGTTGGACTGTTTCAAAAGAGATGTCGAGGTGACATACAAGTTCGCATAGTGACACAAGGTGCACTCCCTCTGCTTTTCAAGCTACACCTGTCATAGTTTTTGTTTGGGATTTCGAATAAATCAGAACACTGCTGTCGTAATCTTACCCTAAAGAAATCATTGGTCTTTTCCTGAGGAATCTCTTACAAAATACAATGTTTTTTTATTCTTATTCGCCGTCTCATCTATATGTCTGTAAAAATTGTGTCCTCTGGAAAATATCAAATTTTTCTATCTTTTAATTATGAAAGTCCAAGTGATAAAAAAGAAGAAACCGTCTCACCTACAACTAAAGAAAATAATACCAGTGAAGATACGGAAAGTCAAACTTCCATGTAAGTGTATTTACCATGCTTTATTTGTATGTCAAGGGAGACAAATCACGAGATTCCTTTAAAAATAGTTTTAAACTCGTCTCAAATCCATCTGAATTGGCTCTAATGAATTTTTTAGACTAAATGAAACCGAACAATTGTACGCATTGACTGTGAATTTGCAAACATGTTTATTCTCATTTTCGGGGGTTGATTTGTGTCTTGAATATATGTAGATAGTCATCTACGAAAAACATAAATCCTCAAACTAGGAATTCCACATGTATGTATGTTCTATACTGTCCGTGGGAGCAAGTTGTAAGTGATTAAGGAAAATCGAAATGCACGTGCAACACGTACCAGAGTTCTGTATAAAAACAAACTGACGCCTGCTGAGAATTCAGTTTCCGTGAAGACAGCGAGCTGATGGCACGTCTAACCTCCCAACAACGTGAACAATCCATCGGACGAATACATGTCGGACAACGTGTTCAAGTCATTCCCAATACATTTAACTGTAGTATACTAACCATTGAGAGACTTTGGATTCGTTACAACACCATCAACAGTACTGATGACCGTCCACGTAGTGGTCCTACCCGAGTAACAACACCAAGACGAGATCGATATATCCTGCGGCAACATCTGCATGACAGATTCACCACAGACAGCTCGTAAGACCATTGGCCACCAATGTCGCTGTCCATCAGTGGCGGAACCAGGTCTACGGTCGAGAGGGGGCGAGATACCTGAGATTGCCCGAATCTTTAACCTAGTTATGAGATTTTTGCCCGAAAACTTTGCTTTCGGGGCTGCGAGGGAGGGGGTGGGGATTTGCACCGCAACTGCTGTCCATAAAGAGGTCCGGTGCTCACTCCCCATAATCGTAAGCAACGCCTTGTGTGGGCCACCCAACGACAACATTGGCGGCATCAGCAGTGATGATCCACGTGTTCTCAGACGAAAGTCGGTACTGCATTTCCATCGCAGATGGCAGAGTACGGGTGTGGCGAAGAAGAGGTGAACGTTTTACAGAACAGTGTGTAGTTGAAAGAGATCCGTGGGGAGGGCCAAGCATTATGAAAAAGGGTGCAATCAGAAACTTGAACCTGTTGTCTTCCAGAATATCTGCCCAGACAAAGGCCACGGGGTCACAGCTGCCCGTTACATCGACATCGATCCCACGTTGTACCACATTTTGACAGACGCCAAAACCACACCTTCCATCATAACTACGCCCGTCCATTGCCACCAGAACCTTCCTTCAAAAAAATAACATTAGAGTAATACCATATACCTCACTCAGCCTCGACTTAAACCCTATAGAACCCTTGTGAGATGACATCCAATGACGACTAAACCAGATCCAACCGCTTCCAAATCAGTGCAGCTTTCCTAAGAGTCTTGGCGCAGATTCCAATGGCGTCTGTAAATCGTTTGTGCCACTCCATGTGCAGAAGATACTGTGCCGTTATTAACGCACAAGGTGAATACACCAGATACTGCTTTTCAGCCACCATCTGTAAAGATCACGTGACCAGATCCTTGATATGTCATAGAAATACTTGAAAGACAAATGTGGTTGTTTTCTGACTAAATTTGAATAAACAATTCACTATTTTCTGTGCTTTGTGACGGATGGCGAATCTGTCCCTTGACTTGTTGTAGACTATATTAAATGTATTTTATATCTAGATGCAACGATAAAGAAAACCAACACACAGGGCCTTTAAAGAGAAACAATGAGAGTTCTGAAAAGGAAGAACTGATACCGATGTGTCCCTTTGCCGCCCTTAGTCAAGAAATTGGTCGCAAAGAGAGGAATATGTAAGTTTCTTTTGTTTCTTTGTTTAATTTCTTTTGTTCATTTTTTATTAAACAGGCCATTTTAAAAAGTTGAATGGGTTCATTGTATGTATTGAACCTTATTGTTTTGGTCTACTCGTCCGAATGAAATAAAGGAAAACAGGTGTACTACAAACTCTTCTTATTGATGATCACCCGTTTGTAGAATTGACTCCTTATCCTTGCAAATAGTTTGGTCTGAAGCAGAATAGAGGGACGAAAAAATTCCATTAAGGGCTTTTTTTCTGTAACACATAATATTTATCTGAAACCATCAAACTGTTTGCATCACGCAAAAACAGTCGCATATCTTGATTAGATTTTTAGATGATGGGAATTCCACTAGAAGTTAATAACGAGCTGTCCTCTAGACTACTTCTTTTATATCTTTCAGAGTTGAAAATCCAAAATCACCAGATGAGGTCAGTTCTCCCACAACAGAAAACAAAACTATCGATTTAAAATTGATGAATGAAGAAGAAACCGGGAATCAAACAATAATGTAGGTGCTTGTTTCAGAAATAAAGAGGTTTTTTTTATCACCTACGGATGGTGTACATTCTGATTCGACGTGGCTCTTTTAATTCCACATCTTGGCCACATTATGACGTAATTACCATTTGCCATTTTGGCGTTTGAAAAGTGTAGATATTTTTGACCAAAGCTCAACTTCAGTGTCAATATTTATATATATATATATAGTTAAAGTTCAAATTATTATTTTCAGAAACAACGATAAATCCAAGCCTGATACAATACCTTTCAGGGAGAATAGTGGAAGTTCGGGAATGGAAGGGTTTACCTGTCCCTTTGCAGCCCTTAGTCAAGGAATGACTGTAAAGGAAAGAGATCTGTAAGTTTTCATTGCGAAATTATTATTCTGATGTCAAAATTGTCTCAAATATTGCAACAGGTAGATCCAGGTTCAGATCAACGTTATAGCCATATTCCTCGATACTCACCACAATCATAGGTTTAGAGATTTTCTACTTTCTGTAGGTTAAAACGGTATCTCCTTGTGCCCTTCCATTCATCACATGAATACGATTTGAGTTATCAGTGATTAATAATCTACCAAACATTATGCTGGCAATGTCGTTTATTTTGTTTCAGTCTCTTCTCTAAATTTGATCACAAAGCGTCAACTGAAGATTCAGAATTACAATTTCATCTGACCAGAGATCGTCCTCCTACACCATTTAGAAGAGATCGTACCCTAATATCAAAGTAAAATTTTTTACAATGTTTCTAAATCGACTCTTTTCTGATTTTCAAATAACGAGGAATCCTTAAGGGGCACAAACGGCTTCGGGCTGTTCATCAATCATTCTACCTGAATCACTTGCAACCACCATCAACTACGTTGTGACTGAACCTTTAGATCTATAACGCCCAATTTAAATTTAAAGTTTTTTTTTAAGTACCGTGGGTAATGAAAATCTTGTTCGGGAATATTATTTTTACACAACATATCAATGCTATTAGTATTTGAAAATGAATCTCAGCACCTTTTTATTATCCTTATTTATGTACTACTGGTTTGTTTTAGATCCGATGATTCCACGAAACCCAATGGCAATAATTCTACGTCGACTGCAAAGAATGAAAACACAGAAAAGTTTGGCATGAAAAGTCTTTTGTCTCCTACCTCACCAGGAACGAAGTAAGATCAGTATTTTTTTTAAAACGCTGCTATACAAAATTTAACGAGTGAACAGATACGCTCAATTCAATCTGGTGTGTGCAAAATGCAAAAGCCGGTCAGTGATTTTCTATCAACCACTATGTTGGAGGGCGAACGACGAGTAAGGCTAAAGATGAGGTCAGAGCAGCAGACATTTAAGATCTTTATGATAAATACGAGACAGAGGGAAGAAGAGGTGGAATGGAGGTGTCAAAGACGGGTCATTCTCAGTTTTGTAACATCCAACCTTCCCTGTCTCCTATCCAAAGAAACGGCACTGAGTCTGGATATGGCGGTAACGTAAATTTGGACAACCAACTACTGGATACGGCCAAGTGCACAATTTGGGCTCTACTTATTGCAGTATGATTTGTGGATCTTCCAGTACTGCAAATCATTCCATGTGTCTGATAAAGTTATTTAGTATCTCTGTTGGAAGAACTATATATATGTAATATGGTAATTTATTAATTGTAGAACAACTGAAGAGACATCAATTGCTAAATCCCATAATGAAGACTCTAAGAAGCTAAATGGGAACGCAAATGATGGAAAGAATCTTAGTCGTCCTCTCTCATTAATTACTCAAGATTATTCAAAAACACAACATCCAAGGTAAGCTTTATGGGTGAGGTTATGGGCTTGTCAAAGTTGAAGTAGAAACCAAACCCTCATTTTTCCGTTCACTCCATGTCATAAGACATGAAATGAATCTGAAAATTCTCCACTGATTGGCCTAAATGATGATGGTTTTCTGACTATAGTGTCAAACATCAATGACTCAATGGTTCATCTAGCATTAATGACCCCTTTGAAGTCGTGTGGGTAGGATCTGAATTTGGGGTTCGATTTCCTTTATCAAGGTTACATAGAAACTTTCTGTTTTATAGTGAAAATGGTGTAACAATCGTCAGTGATAAAAGTCCATCATCATTAATCTGTGGTATAGGTGCCCTGTACAAGACAAATCGACCCATTTTGCCAAAAAAAGAACGAACTAGAACAAGAAAAAAAATTGCAAAGTGATCAACCATAAGCTGGGCAGCAATCGCGGCATAGCGATATATATGCTTTACAGTTCGACTCGGTCAACTCGAATCGACTAATGGAAGGCTGCATTCGGCAAGAATGTGGTGATTGTGGTGATCCAGGAGGCAACCAACCCGATGGTCTTTTATGGAAGGTGTTCAGAATCTACACCATCGACAACTTGTTTAAAGCAAGTATCGAGTCATGAACTCACATCATTGGTTGCATCCTGCCGCTTCCCCTGCTTAAGGGTAACAAGGACGCAACCGTTCCGATGTCTTTTAATGGTGGGTGTTAAAAGCTGCAGTACTTCAATGTTTTGAAAGGTATGAAGTCAGGTACTAATATCCACGGTTGCATCCAATAGATCCCCTGCCGTGGGATATGGGATAATTGATTATTGGTGATCGTGTGCATTTAAATAAGAAATCAGCTCTGTAACAGTCGTATTTTTTATCACCATTTTTTTTAGATAAAAGCACTATAAAAATAATATTTATATCTGAAACATTATATATGGCTATTATGATGTTTTGTTGTGAATGCTGGGATTGGTTAATGGACATTCTGAGATGTTTTCTCAATGACAGAAAGAAGGATATGTATATGCCTAGACATTACTTAACTATGTAACTAAATGGTTTTCGTACTCTTAGATAGTACTAATGTTGGAGGTTCTAGAGACTACACTTTTAACCAATTCATTTTACTGAATCTTGAATATGGTTCACAACTGGATATCAATAAGAATCGGCTATGTAACGCCATTACAAATAAAGGGGGAAAACTGTATTCTGTAACACCAATGTTGATGATCGATCAGTTCCATTCTCTCTACCGGAAATACATAACGTCGTTGTATTTCAATAATTATTGATTATTGATTATTATATTATGAAGTAGTAGCCTAATGGTTTTTCCTTGTGGGATACTTCACGAATGTGACTGAAATGTGTCACGATTCCAATGTACCTATGTAAGGCACATGAAATCCGAGGATACATCGAAGAAGGGTTAATCTTACCCCTCGACTTTATTGTGATCGGAGCAACTGCCATCAAAAATGACATTTTATGTCAAGCCCATAACGTATTGATATCACGTCCGAGTTACGGGTAGGGCCTACTTCCTGACAATAAAAGTACAGAATAGAAGATATTTGGTACGTGTTTATGGAAATCATATGAATTCTATACCTTTCTCTTAGCCTGCAATACCAGGCAGCATGAAGTCATGTCAGGAATTGCTAACACCACAAGTGCTATATGTTCCCCTGTACATATACTAAGGATATCAAAATCTCTTTGAAGCAATCGAAGTTGATGGAACGGGTGAATGAGAAAAGTTGTATATTATTTTAGATACATTTCTAGAAGATTTAGATTTAGATATAAAATAAATGAAAACAAACAAAGAAATATGCACTATATTTTATATAGTTTTTATTAGAAATAAAGTTGTTATGAACAATAATATACTATGTTATTTTGTTATCTATATATAAACAATAAAATGGTATCAACATGTTATATACTAATCATATGTTATATCTGATAGGTATAACTTTTGAAATTGGAAACCTGATAGATACAAATTTGATTTCTGAAATATTATAGATACAAATTTAATTTCTGAAACTTGATAGATATTAACTTGATTTCTGACACATTATGGGTCTAAATTTGATTTCTGACACAACATGAGTCTAAATTTGATTTCTGACACACAATGGAAATGAATTTGATATCTGACACACCGTTAGTCTAAATTTGATTCTGACATACCAAAGGTCTAACTTTGATTCTGACAAACTGTAGGCGATAGGATTCAATTTTATTTCTGATTTCAAAAACATGATTCTAAATTCTGACAATGATGGTTAGAAGTTTGTTTTCTGGGACAGTACTCTTTAAGAAGACAGTTTCAAAATGATCAAAATAGTATATCATCATTTTTCAGATCATCATAATGAATGATTTACAATGAAATAAATTACCATGATGTTAATATACAATGATTTTGTATAATTTATATACAATGATTTTGTATAATTTATATACAATGATTTTGTTTAATTTGTATACAATGATTTTGTATAATTTATATACAGCTATTATAAATCAATCTTCGGACTAATGCAGATGTTGTCATGGATCTAATAAAAACGTGTGGAAATGTCAACACTTTGAGCTTGTATAATGTACAAATTTCTAATGGTTTTGATTAATTCAATATACAAAATAATATTTCGTATTTGTATAATATTAGTTTATTTACTATAATTAAGACCATTTTTGTATCAATTTATCTTCCGAACTTTGTATAGCTCAAAATACAATTGAATTTGTATAGTTAAAAATAGAATTGAATTTGTCTAATACAAATTCATGGAGAGGAAGTACAATTACATTGTATAACAAAATATACATTTAATAACTTTTGTATAATGTTAAAACACAAATACTAAATTTCTATATTATTTACAAACATTTCTATAAGTAAACATGATTTTTGTATAAGTAATATGCGCTGGATTTTAATTCATGATTTTGAACAATGATTTATGAATTAGTATAATAATAATAATAATATTCTTGAATAAAAGACGTGCAAATGAAGAAAATTCTATGTATCCTGAGACAAAAAAGCTAAGGTAATATAAATTTGTGGTCATGTACGATAATCTTGATCATGAAATAGAACGAAAAGCATGTGACCCATGGTCAAAAGCAGGGTCCAAAACATGTATTACCAAACACGTTTCCAAGACAATTTATGGCAGGACTAAGAGATTCGTTGACTTAAAGAGTCGACAGGGATAATAACTAAGATACAAATGAATCGATGATAATATTCTGTCTGGCTGTGATAATTTTGAGTTTTTTTGTATTTTAGATCATTTTCAAGGCAGTATTACAATCATAAAAGAAGCATTAAAAGACATAAACCACTTAAAAACATTGGCTTAATCTATAACAAAAACCCATAACACTAAACATGACTAGACTTGCCAACATGAAAGAACCATAAACAATCAAATTTCAAATGGCTGGATTTGCCAACACTAAATCGCTACAAAAATAGTCTCTAAAAAATTAACAATGACGTACAAACTAGCTTTAAACGAGATTCGACAAATGGACGAACATACAATCAAAATCACATTAATATCTTGAGGACGACAAATGAAATTTGAAGCAAATATACTCAGCATCTAACAAGCCAAGGAGAGAAAAAATACTTAAAACTAATTTGAATTAAGTACTTAACAGTTGACTTTTGACAACCACTTTTGCAGTTAAACTTTAACAATTTTCAAATATTCAATCCACATGCCACTATTGCCCTTATTGAATATTATACATGTAAAGGCCTCAATGTTTGACATTGTATAGTGCTTCTTAGTTGTTCGTTTTCGGCACTATTCTATACATTGCATATACGTTGCCTTGTTTCATCTGGCAGTGACATTCGTATATATAATAAAAAAACCTCTATTATAATATGTATAATTATTTTAAACTCTATACCCGGTTTGTACTATGGAATGCCCTTTAAGACAAAATCACAGATATGCATCTAATAAAATAGCTCTTTTTGATCCAAGTTCACTGGGTCTTTGATTTCGGACTAGATCCTGAGAAAAATATGTCACTATAAGTCATTCAACCATCATTCACACTCATAGTCCTTTTACACTATTTTCACTCGACGGCGTTCTACACTTTGTCAATTTTACTGACTTTGAGAAGATTGTTCAATGTAATGGACGGTGGGGAGTGACCATTAGGGTTAACTGACACAGACATGGTGGATCCTAGTGGGGTATCAATGGTGTTGACCGTTGATGTACTGTTTATAAGTCTATTAAACTCCTGAGGTCGGATGTGGGCGGCGTCTAAAAATTGGGGGAGCATAATGTTTCTTCTCAGTCTTTCATTTCGTGGTCCCCAGTCTTCTGTAGGCTGCATATTGGTTTGTAATAACTGAAATGAAAATACATTTATCCATATAAGTCATGAAATGGATTTACTGAATTACTGAAATACAATGAAATAAGATCCATCAACCTCCTAAACACAACCAGAGGCATCAGGAGTGATGACATCTATCGGCTTTACAGGTCACTCTTTAGGGTATCTGCCCGAAAAAAATATATCTTATTATGACGAGACACCATTTACCCAAGTGCTGTTCTGAAACCTGCCTCGTCCCTGCCGACAACACGGTACGGTTAGAGCGTCATCAAAACGGTCGCATAGGAATTTGGTCTGAAATTCTAACAACTGTTCCTAGCTCTATATATATATAGCAGTTCCATGAAGTCCATTTCGATCAAATTATAATCCAAGACTTTAGACCAAAATCAACCAGATAGTTAGTAAATACGTCAGAGTTTTATTAGAAAATGTAAAATAAACTTACTGTAAAGCCACCTTCTGTACAATATTTAAACAATGCCCATACAGGTACAACAACAATAGGGAAGAGAGATATTAACCATCCCAATGCCACTGCCCAACTAGGATAGGGTTTATCATCAAATGTTGGTTCTTTATATAAGATCATATTGCATAGAATAGTTACCTGAAAAAAGGATAAAGGTTTCAATGCAAAATCAATGCTAAAATAAGAATAAAATATTTAATATTAATTCTCGATTTAGTGATAAATTCGTGTACTCTTGGTACCAGCTTTGGTCTTTTTTATATGTTATATGAAAACACCTTGGTTTGTTCCCTTTATATTGTTATTCTAAATGTTATCTTATTTCAATCTCTGGTTTTCTTCTATTTTTGAATAATTTAAAGTTAAACTGAAATAACAAAAATACTCACCATCACAGCTATGGGGGAGACATATTTCCAACAAATTTTCCAATAAATTTGGGGTTTAAATCCAATCATCATTTCAATATTTTCAGCGAACCTATCATAACCTAAAAAGGTAGAAAAAAGAAAGGTTTTACGTGTGGAATTTGCATTTGTATATAAGATATCCTACAAAACTGACAAAATGACTGACATAAAAGGAAGGGTAAGGCAGTTATTCGGATGTTATCTGCCTTAACATGAAGAAATCTATTCAGAATCCTTATAATGGAGATGTGACACCTGCAGTCCGATGCTGCTCATATTAAGTAGGCTAAGAATAGATTCTTGTAAAAGACGTGCTCACCGTAAATCCAATTCAAGACAAACAATTCCAGGAAACCAATGACCAACAATGGGAAACCACCAACACTGTAGTCTACGAGGTTCAATAAATGTATTCCACCCTAAAGAATAAAAACATCTATGATGATCAATTTGAAAAAAAATATGATCCAGTTTCGGCTAATAAACAACATCGTTCATATAAACGCCATATAAAATGCATTCTGTCCCTTTTCAACTGTCAAGGAATACCATCATGGTATCAACCTGGTAAAACGCTATTTTTGATTTGGTGCAAAAGGAGTGAAAACCTTCGTCCACAGAGAAGAAATTTTGTCTGGAAATTTTAAAAAGAGTTATGCCTCCTACCTTACAAATCATTGGTAAACCAAGTAAGAATGATGTAACCATAACTGTTATACGGAAACTGTAAGATCCTTTATGAGTTCTTAAATATCTGGGAAATTCATCAGTCAAAGCACTCAAAACACACTCCACTATGGAAAACTGTGAACCAAATCCTAAGGTTAACATCATCAGAAAGAAGAAAACAGCCCAAAGTGGTGAAACTGGCATTCTTGCTATAGCTTCTGGGTATACAATAAAGGCCAATCCAGGTCCTGTAAAAGAAAAAAAACATATCTAATTTGAAGTTATATTTTTTGCGATCAAAGTCTGGCTTTAATGTCCATTATAATTTTTGTTTGCACAGCAACAGTGCCCATTCTTTCAACCAGGTTTAAAGCTAACTGTGTATTTACCTCCTGCAGCCACCTCAGAAACCTCAACGCCTTTTTCGTGAGCCATAAAACCAAGAATCGAGAAGATGACGAATCCAGCGAAAATACTGGTGAAACAGTTAATCAAGGCGACAATCAGGGAATCTTTGAAACAGTTATTCTTAAATTTGTTGTAAGACGACATAGCTATAAGACCACCACTGCAGGTACTTAATGAGTAGAAAATTTGAGTAGCAGCATCGCTCCATACCTGAAAAAGGTCATGAAATAAGTAAGGCATGATTACTCAGTACAGATAAGTTCTTGATTTGCCAGTTTATTAAAGCTAACATGCAATCATAAAATCAAACACGATAAATAATATTTAAAAATGTGGGTTACATCAACAATCTACAAAATGTTGGTCGCGTAAATGTTATCACGCAAGTGTATTCTTTTCAATTTTCTCGGTGACTTTAAAGATCTAAGAACGTTAAAATGAAATTATTTTTTCCTCAAAAAGTCACAAAATTAAAGCTTGTACGCAATTTAAAAGATGATGTACTAATTTAGTTTACATACCCTAGGATCTGACAGTCGACTGAAATCAGGTTTCAGATAATAAATAATACCATTAACAGCACCTTCTAGAGTAACACCTCGTATTAACAATATACATAACATAATATAGGGAAATACAGCGGTAAAATACACAACCTGAAAATATTAACAGAAGTCAATCAAAATAAAGAGAGAAGTAGTTGTCTTTATTTATCGCTACATTCTTGGTCAAATGATTTTGGGTATCATTGATAAAGGTGGAATTAAACAAGATAATAGGGTAAATCAGAGAAACAAAATTACCTTTCCAAGAGACTGGATACCTCGTAATAAACATGCACCTACGATTAACCAGGCAAGAAATAAACAGATTGCCAATTTCCAGTTAACAGTACCAAAGTCATCAATACTTTCACTCTGTTCTAGAACGTAATATCTGAAAGAAGATCGTAGCAATGTACTTACTTTTTACAAAATGCAACGCGAATACCATCGGCAAGGTATTTTGATCGGGACTATATAAACATTAATTTAGGCAACATTAGTTAGTAGGCAAATGCATTGTAATCTGTAGCATAATATATCAAACATCCCTAAAAGCATCATAGTAGCTTTAAAATCAATACTCACTTATAATATTCTTCACTAGGCGTATTCATTGAACCATTATGGGCATGTGTAGACGTGTAATTGATCCCTACAAGCAAATTGAAAACAATTAGGATAATTGCATTTAATATAGTCATTTGTTTATTACATGTATATTCAAAAATATGTCACAATAACTTCATTGGAACCTGTTTTAATTTGGTCACAATGGCCAGCAACCTTTCAGGTAAACCTTTTCGTCTCGGCTTTATTTGAAGCAAAGGGGCCACAACAGATACGTGTGAAAGATTTTCTTAATGCCTCATTTGTGGTCCATGTCGAAGTGTTAAGGCACCTTTTCTGCACTAGATCCCGGGCTAAATGGTGCACTGAAACCTTCTTAAAATCTATTAGATTCAGATTAAAGGAATAACGGTTCAACCCTATCCTTGAACACCAGGATCTAAAGGAATGATTCCGTTTTTGATAGACATATGGCTCAGCTGTTTAGGATATAAAGCGGGACCATCTCGGGGAGTAGGGAAAAACACCAACTCACGTTCTTCATCAGTAAGAGTAAACTCATAAGGAAGGCAGTTTTCTGTGTTCCAGGTATTATTACAGCTGATCCAAGGTAACTGACTAGTAAATGAGGAATATAGGTAAAATAATGTATGAGCTATAATAACATTATAATATAAACTGATTAACCATGATGATATCACCATACCATAACCTAATCCTACAAAACAAAAGATCATACTATTAATTTGATTGGTCTTTCATTTCGAAATCATAATCATAATCATAGGCGAGAAAATTCGTCGGTATTAAAAATGTTCCTGTCAATTTAGGAAGCAGTGCTTGGCAAATGACAGTTTTAAGTGGTCAGAATACACTGAGGGTTGTAAACTTTCTATACAAAAAACAATTGATACGTTCATAATTGGTCGTCGCCTTAGTTTCGAATAGCCATAACTTTTTAAAATCTATTATAATTTAATATTGTATTATTTATGTCGGCCATTTTCAATTTTCAAAATTAAAAGTCTTCAGACAGTTTAGTTCTGGCCATTAAGTGTCTCTTGACGACTATTTTACTGTAGACGGTCTAGGAATATATTTGACAAATTAAAATGAATGACACGAATGCCAGACTTGTTTTTCATCTGAACATTCATCGTTTATCTCATTTATGTTTACGTCATATGATAATCGGAATCACTCTTGGCCTCAAAAAATGAAACCTACCATTCTGAAAATTCATAAAAAAGTCAACATATTTGCTTTACAAGCTGTCTGGGCTCAATTTCAGCCACACTTTCCAGAGTCAAATACTGAGATCTGATTGTAGGTTGTCTGAAATTGTGCTCTATCAGATAGTTAGTAATTTAAACATCATGTTTTAAGTGGGTCTAAAATCAAGTTTTTGTCTCACAAAGGGTCTGCTCATGGCTTATGTTTCCATATGTTATATAACAGATCGTGAAGTTATCAATGACAAATATCATCCAATTAGCATCTCATGTGATTTTGACGTGGACAACACGAGGGGTTATTCTGTGACATGCGTTAGCTCAATGAGTTGAGACTCATGTCATAGTATTAATTGAGCTTTAATAGACTTTTAATGTTGTTAAAGTCATATAGGTAAAATCCATGTATAAACTACGTCACAATATGAATAGTCATTATCATGAGATACTATCATGTGCTATCTCATTTCTATTTGAATATAAATACAGTTCATTATTTTTATCATTATTACTTTAATATATAAGCATTTATTGTCATGGTCATGAAATTTACGTTTACGTATATAGGTCAACCATTTATCTAAGTAGTACTTTGATTTGCTATTAAGTGTAAAAGTATGAAAATAGTTACCTTTAAAAATGGGGTTGACAGTCCAAATAGCAATTGGCCCTAAACTTGCAAACTGGCCAAATGCAAGTTCCATAAAGAACAGAGGTAAACCAACCGCTGCCAACATAATCAAATAGGGGATTAAAAAGGCACCTACAATAAAAATAAAAATATATATATATATATATGATCAAATCTGTCATATTTCAAATACGGAAATTCGTTGGTTATTTTTATTGAATAAGTAATACTTTGTAAAGTGTATGGGATTTTTAGATTTTTTTTAGAAATGAAGTTTGGTAATTGAAATCTTGCTCAATCAAACGTTCTACTTCAGTTTAGCCAAGTTGGTTTGATAAATTGACTAATAATTTATTTGTAAATCGTATGGGAACGTATTGCTTTAATAATGAACAACGTGAGAATAGAGGAAATCTTCCTGTTTCACTTACAATATAACAATTGTAGTTTCGTGATATTGGCTGCCATTTTGACAGTAACTAATTTCAAATGTGAAATTGTGAAATTAAGAATTTATAAATGAAGTTTTATATTTGGAATTTTCTTGAAGAATATTACGAAACTCTTCAAACGCGAACAATACATTTATTTCATAATAGGGAAATTTGACACATTATTAAGTTTATCAAATCGTTTCAGTTTTATTGGCGTTTTTGAAATCATCGAATTTGAAGGGGAATTAAATTATAAGCTCAGGAAAGATGAAATTTTTTTTCAAGAATATTCTTTTACTTTCCCAACATTAAATAATAACCAAGCCCAAAACATGTACTGAAAAGTATAAGGATGTAAAACTGGTGTGAAAATAAGTATATGTCGTTTACGGACATACATTTATTGTTGTTTGTGTCTTCGCGGTATAATGTATTACACTAAATCCTGTTGATCTATAGTTATGAATATTACGGACATCCGTACCTCATCAATATAGTAAATAACTCTATTACCACGAGTCCTGCTCTGACGTCAGGAAACAGCAACTATACGTGTTTTGGAATGATTGTGCAAATCAGTGGTTAGTCGTTTTCTTTTACATGCTTTTTCAAGATTGGTAGGCCTAACATTTAAGATATGACTCTAAAGTATCATGTTCTTTTTGCTTCTAGCTTGATCTGGATACATAAGTATTAGGGATGGACTTGAAATGGGGATGTACATGTTTGGAGGCATGTTTATATGACAAGATTCTCAGTATATTAACTTGAGAGTTTTACCGCCAATAGTTTGATTCTACTTCCGGTTTGCATTGGTTATGGTTGCATTTAGAGGAATATTTAATGTAATATAAGTTAGCACCGAGACGTTTTGATGTTAGGGAACAAACCAAAATCTCCACATTGAACAAAGTGTTTATCCTTACCTCCTCCGTTTTTGTAACAAAGATACGGGAACCTCCAAACATTTCCCAAACCCACAGCGTAACCAATACAAGTGAGAAGAAATTCCATTTTTCCTCCCCAATTAGCTCTCTCTTCCTCCACGCTTTCAATGGTATCTTTACTAGCAAAATCATCAGGATCTTCGTTAGCTTGAGTACCATGCTGCAAGAATGGAAAATATCCGTTTATGACAGACGTTAACTTTATTTAAGTCGAAATGATGCGACCATTTAGGAACCATTTACGTTTTTTTAATTATAGTCAACTTGAACTATACTTAATAAATGGTTTCTTAGAACCGATGACTAATGAAGAAATGTCCCGTTGGACACCAATCTTCTTATAGCCCATCAAGACATAATGCCATTTTTTGATATGATCAGAAAATTATGCAAATGTTCGCAGCTGAAATTCTATAGACTCTGATTAAGGCATCTGAAATAATTCAGTAACCAACAAGTATGCTGATACAGATGATTTATAAAAGATCGCAGAATTTCCGCAGAACTACGTCTTTTCAAATAGCAAAATAACATTCATATTGTTTACTTTCTATTTCTTTTATTAACTCTTGCTTTGTTTTTTATTTCTTTTGTCCTCTTTATATTTATCTATCTTCATTGTATAACAATGCTTAAGACAATATAGCAGGCTCTGACATTTTATTTTAGTTACAATAAACCTGGAAGCTAGAATAATGTCTATCACTATAGTAAATCACATTGTATAGGCGAGAAGGAGGACGATCGATTTTTACTATTTCCAAGAAAATCAATTAAAGTGTTTGGGCGTCTTTAAAAGAAGATCAAAACAAATTCCTGCTCGACGATTTCCTAAATGATTATTTATTAACCCTATGTTATCAAACAATGCCATATTAGGCAGGCATGTTGATACTATAGGAACATCGGCAGTAACCTTGTGATTCCTGGCACAGTGCCAGACTAAGATCGATGCCATTGACGTCATGGAGTTAGTAAGAGGGATTGAAGTAATTTCAATGATTTGAGAACGAAAATAGAATTTCTGACTCTCATCTGTTTAATTCATCTTCTAAACTTATTATTATTGACATGTTTGCGATATAAATGCTTCTAAAATTGGTTGAAATTTTTGTTTATTGGTTCCAGGTTTTGCTAGTTTAGTATACATTAAACCAGTTAGTACCGGATCTGAGTGTTATATTTAGAATATCGATTAACGATGGATATTTGTTATGCTTTTATAGTTATTATTCAGAGTGCAATAGGTTTACATAAGGTTATCTTTGAGAGACTGCTTACTGAGCAATTTGAAGGTCCTCAAACATTAAATAACAAAGCTTAAAGATGGGTTTCCTTATTTTAAACTATTTGATTAATTGGTGTTTCTAATGAATTATCATCTATTTTTAATCATATCATTATGATCTTATTGCACATACATGTAATTCAGAGTTTTAACCAATCATAAATGCAATCTGGATACATAAAAAAAGATTTTGACTTTTCTGGAATTCTGCTGGTAATTCCCTTCTAACTTAGCTAATTATGAATTAATTATGGACATGTGAGACAAACTGGTATTTTTCCAAGTCATTAGAACACCTCCACTTTCTGTTCATATAAGTATTAGCATTTTCATTTTCATAAATGAAAATAAGGGAACCCATCTTTAAGTATTTCTATGAAAGTTTGGGTGGAATTGGCCACAATATTCAAGAGGCAACTTTTTAAAATATCTATGACAAAGGCTCTGTAATCTCCATCATCCTTATATGGAGCAGAAAAGTAAGACGTAAAACACCATTTCATTTCATTTTGGGTGTCGTTAATAAACCAAGCCCGAGTGACAGTCTATATGGTGTTATTTTTTTTTTTAAGAAAATAAGGAGACTCCATTCTCGTTTGACTCTATCAAATAATGTATTGAGCAAGAAAAAAACTGTCCATGCGTCAAGTAAGTGACTAGTTGGACACTGTAATGACGTATGGGGATAAGAAAGAAGAAAAAATAAACTATTGAAGCCTTGCCGTTGCCACTTATGTAAGTACAAAGACTACGGGATTGTGGGTAGATGAAAATAACATGCGAGGTTTTAAAATAACTTGCATCATCGTTTATATAATTGAATTTAGCCCACTCATCTATGTAACAATCCGTGGCCTACATTCAGTCTGAAAGCTAAAAATCCACCCTAATCAATTTAATAGTTGGTGAAGATATTCTAACAGCGTTTTGACACGTACGTTCGCGTCTACTTCGTGATGCTTTTGTCGCTTTCTTCCAGTGAGATCATACAGAGTAAACCAGTAGGGATCAATAATGTGTTTTAAACTGATTGGATGAAATCTAATGAAGAATTTATTACGTTGGAGGGTATAGAAAGTAGAGCAAATCTATTGGTAACTAGAAAGCTAATTCATGCAACCTAACGGCTCTTAGAAACCAAATAGCTCTATAACTACGCAATTGATTGAACTGTTATTATAGTACACAGACCATCGAATTCCAAATGTAGAGGTTGATTTAGAATTAATATGACGAATTGTTTTAGAATAAAAAATGACGATTGATTTAGAATAAAAAATGATGACGTTGATTTTGAATAAAAAATGACGACGTTGATTTTGAATCAAAATGACCAATTGATTCAGAATCAAAATGACCAATTGATTGTTGATGTTGATTATACCAATATTCATCATTATTTTAATTAAAGTTAAATCAAAGGAGCAATATTTAAAGGGTCTATGTTAAGCCGTGCTTTCTTCGTGATTCAATTCAAAAGAATTTTTCTCAAACATCCAGGAATGTTCCACCTGCCCACTCAATTCAGAACGTACTAAATTAAATTATTTAACGTTTGTTTCTACTCATCAGAAGCTATTTCTCAAGTGCATAAGTTAAGTGAAGATAGAACCTTCCACTAACCTGGCTCGTAACCAGACTTGATTGATCGTAAGTAAGATATTCGGAGGTGCAATGGAATATGTTGTTATTTGCAGTAATAAAATCGGTGGGTTGTCAGATTTTTTGCAATCCATTTATCGGGGGGGGGGGGGGGGGGGGGGGGCCTACATCCCTTTTGATTTGTGCACAACGTAATTTTGAGACGATAGTGATATCAACATTGCGCATTACCAAGAACTATCATCTGTTGGAAGGAAGATTTTCACAACACCTAGTTACCGAGCATTATGCTGCAATCGGCCCTTCGTAATATCTCCTGCGAAAACTTGTCATTACCGATAATAATTTTATTTATTGAATAAATGTTGAATATAAAGTAATAGTGTCGTTTCTGAAACTGTTCTTGTAGTTACTAGTCCACAAAGATCCTGAAATCATGATTAATGTCTGGTCACGATTCGGCTAGAATGGCATAAATAAATCACAGTTCAATAATACAATTATTGTCAATTGTTTTTAATTAAGGTCATTGAAATATGATCGGTTGTCAGTTATTTCTACCCAAGGGTCGTAAATAATTTAGTTAAGTTACCCAAAGGTTTGTTTATTCTTGGAATGCATCTGCTTTTCCTGTTTCAACTCATTTGATTAGTAGCTTGCTTTTGGGGAAGTTTGTTTCTGAAGGTGGGTACAAATGACAATCTGGTGTTTCGTTTCGTGTTTTATTTCCGCAAGTGAAGTTTATTACTTAATTTTCAATTTAATCAGATTGACCTTGTGACTTAAAGAATTTTAAGGCAACTAAATGATGGTAATAGGAAGAATCAATCGCCAAATTTAGTCGAATTTGAGAGCCAGTTGTCATCACAGGAATAGGCTAATGTCGTCGACTTGAACAGTTGGAATCTTCGACTGTCCAGTTCATAGCAGTTGCTTTTCTTGGGTCATGTTCGAGATATTTATTAGAAGATGCTTTGAGTCAATAGTAAACCTGCACCAACCTCATGTTGGCCTCATATTGTTTCATAACTGTTTTTGTTATTTTTACATGAGGGTTCATCAGACATAGGTCTGGCACGAAGAACTGGGTAGAGTGATCTACAGAACCAGAACTCTTGGACTATTCTATTATAAGCCATAAGTTGATTAAATAATAATTCCCAGGTCTTCCTTATAACCAGACGAAGAAAAATCGATGAAAAATAAATTCTGACTGCAACCAGACGATCTAATATGTTTACGTCTGGTTGAAGGTGACACAAGGTCAGTGTAGGTGAAAGCCGATGACGTAATTATGAATTATTTTTAAAACTCTGTTAGTAGTGCCAAGTACTGATTGATAATGTTTCAAAACAAATCAGAACCAGTTCCTGGCAGTCTGGTATCTAATATTAGAAACAGGATATCCACAATGTTAAATATGGAATTATTCGGTGCAATATTGGCATTAATAACCTATGGATGCCAAAAAAAAAGAGATAAATTGTCCACATTAGACCTATTAGGACTACATGTATATTATATAAATATATAATAATCATTATCGCGAATTTGGGGTTCACATTAACCGAAATGCTCATTGGCATGTTCAGGTGGCGTTTGTAGACTTCCGTTACACCTCAGATACATCAAAATAACAATTCAGCCATCGTCGATCTAAACATTCATTTCACTATTCGGTATTTCGCAATTTGGTATTGATTTTAAAGGTAATCAAGTGGATTGAAAATGACCTCGAGGAAAGGAATTGCACATCCTCGTGTAATATTCACACCACTCGGAAAGGGGGATTAAAACTACAGTTATCAACTGATTTGGTGTGAAACAAAAACCTGTTTCTGTTGGTTTTCATAAAAAAAAACTCCCCATGCCTTTAGATCCTGAAGACAATGCTACTTGAAACAATATAATCTTGGACCACGTTTTTTATACAATATGAAGGCTGTCTATGAGGGGGTGTTACTGCTAAACTCAAAATCACATTGTTGCATTGTTTTTTTTCAGATGAAAGCGGATGAAAAATTACTAATCCTTTTATAATCAGATTGCTACAGATTACAAATCCTCCAGTTTAATGAAAGTAGATCCACATACAGTTTGACAAGAAGAAAATCCATTGTGATCATCAAAGGCCCATGCCTTAGCAATTGTTTGGCATATAGTTCTTTGGAACAATCGCTTTCATCTGGATAAAACTAGGTCATGGAACTAGG